CCGCACCCGGACTTAGGCTGTGTCAGTCAGGACACACCCTAGCCGGCTCAACACTGTGGTGGTCCGACCCGAGCTGCCCGACAGACAAGGCATGCAGCGATGACCTTTGATTTCGATGCATTAGGATTTGATTTACATTTGATGCATTAGGTAGTGCGCAGTTCTGCCCTATGACTGCATGGTGGTAGGTTTCTTCCAGAAAACATCAGCGGCATCAGGCTCGTGGGAGCCGCACAACACGGAAAAGGTTGTTGGAAGGTTTCCGTTTCAAGCGAAGTTTCACTGATGGAATCATTGCTCCGCCTACCATCCTCGTCCGATATGTTAGCATTCACACAACGCTTCCGTTATTTAACTTTTTGGCCGCCGGCAAGTGTTGAGTCCTGAAAAAGACTGGATGAGTTCGGCTTTCAGCTCGAAGTATCTCCTTGGAATCGCTGAGATCCGAATAAGGGCCTTCTGATTGCGAGTCCAGTGCTCTACCAACTTTTATTTCGTTCCATCCTGCACGGTACGCTCAACTGGCACAGCACTGAATTCGTAAGCGGAAGACCCTGGTTCGAATCCCAAGTGTAAGGAGAGAATCCCCTCATGTCCACGGATTAAGAATGAATTGGCCGAAACGTTGCATACACGAGGACGACACCAAAACACCCCAAACGAGGACGATCTTCCAAACAGTACCTCCATATGTGATACCAATTCCTACCCTTAATCCTACCGTGAAACTGTAGGGTGCTTCATCTCACATGCCCAGTTGAAGAAATTTGTGATGGGTATGAACCATTTATCGAAATGTTTCTCGATGTTCCAGATGGTGGAAAATTTGAATTTCTATCGTCAATGTCCGTCGGCCAAGCAAAACGACTACACATCGGCCCCTGAACGCAAGCGCACCTCCTAGCATTTCAAAATGACCCATACTTGCTGATGTCATGCGGATGGCGTGTTCAGCCACTGAGCGCGGGAAGAGGAGGCTCGCATACATAGCTCACAGCACCAGGGCAGTCGGACCCCACACCAAACTGGCTGTGACACCAACCCAAATGTCCAAAACATTTCAATAATACTCGCCTGATCGCACGTCCTTGGTTATGTCCAATATGTTCACTTATCCTTTAATCGACATTTCAAGTGAAGAATCTTGCATAGCCAACAACAACTGCACGGACAAGTTTGCGCGGGAAGGCTCAGCATTTTTCCAGTATTTCATTGCTGTACACGGCTTATGTGTCAACGAGATGCCATCCGGCCTGACATACCGCCCGTCGAAAATAAGCGAAGCACGTATGATGGATACAATCCGTAATCTGACCTCCGAACAAAACCCAAGTAGCACGGCAATGTATTCAGGGTCACTTCGATAAGCGCAGCGGACGCGGCGCCTCAGCGGCTGCTGAGCCGCAGCGCCTGACGCCACGTACGTGAATGAGGAGCCCTTCAGCGGCGTCCGGTCCCCGTCGGCCCCCGCTGCGCTGACCCGGCGGGCGCGGGCAGGTCAGAGCCGTGTGGGAGGCGCGGTCGCCGGCCGGACCAGCGGCCGCCGCTGCGCTGACCCGGCAGGCGCGGGCAGGTCAGAGCCGTGTGGGAGGCGCGATCGCCGGCCGGACCAGTGACCCCCGCAGTGCTGACCCGGCGTGCGCGGGCAGGTCAGAGCCGTGTGGGAGGCGCGATCGCCGGCCGGACCAGCGGCCGCCGCTGCGCTGACCCGGCAGGCGCGGGCAGGTCAGAGCCGTGTGGGAGGCGCGATCGCCGGCCGGACCAGCCACCCCCGCAGTGCCGACCCGGCGGGCGCGGGCAGGTCAGAGCCGTGTGGGAGGCGCGATCGCCGGCCGGACCAGCGGCCGCCGCTGCGCTGGCCCGACGGGCGCGGGCAGGTCAGAGCCGTGTGGGAGGCGCGATCGCCGGCCGGACCAGCCACCCCCGCAGTGCTGACCCGGCGGGCGCGGGCAGGTCAGAGCCGTGTGGGAGGCGCGATCGCCGGCCGGACCAGCCACCCCCGCAGTGCCGACCCGGCGGGCGCGGGCAGGTCAGAGCCGTGTGGGAGGCGCGATCGCCGGCCGGACCAGCGGCCGCCGCTGCGCTGACCCCGAACAGCACCGCATGACGGCGCGCCGCGCATTCCGTCCGCGTCATCGCCGGCGCCGCGACCGGGGAACGCTCGGTACTCCCCGGAGTCCCGCGCGGTGATGCGGCCAGCCGTGGGTGCTGACCGCCGCGGGAAATCCTCCGCCCAGCGCCGGACGCGCGAGAGCGATGACCCGGGCGGAGCCGCCGCTGACACGCCACGCTCGGCGCGCGGCTCCGTCGGTGCTGCAGCGACGCGCGCCGACGGCAGACCGAACCTGCCGCGAATGCCGCCGGGCGTGTCCCCGCTGCCCCAGGCACGCCGGACCGACCCAACACCGGCCGACGGTGACGCCGAGCTCCGCACAGGCCGGGGACTGGCAGCGGTGGCGAGCCGGGGTCGGGACCGGACCGGGACCGGGGCCGGGACAGCGGCGGGACCGGACCAGGGCCGGGCCGGGCCGGGCCGGGGCCGGGACCGCCACCGCGCTCGGTGCCGGAACACGCCGCAACTGCGGGCCGGAACAGGTCTGCAGGCGCCAGCGCGCGGCCGGAGATGGATATTGCGCCGGCGAGCGGCGGCCGCATCAACAAGGCCGTGGGCGGCAGGCGGCGCGTCCACTGCCTCATACGGCGCGGCCCCGAGCCGGGGCCCCGCCACCATGACCATCACTGGCGTCGACAACCAATGCGGGACTCCTTATGCAAGCCTCGTCCACTCCCAAGCTTGTATGCTTGTTACAGGAGCGCGCAGCGCCCGCGCGCGGCAGGGTCAAGTCTCTGTGAAACGCAGCGGGTGGTACCCGTGCCACATGACGTTTCAGCGTTGCTTTCTTGGCCGTAATATATTTTCTCGGTGGTGCTCATCTGGGCTTAAACACATGAAAAGTTCAATTATGTAATGAGGGTGCAGCCCGAGGTTTCTCAGGTGGAGCTCAGCTTTCTTAAGCTGGAGCTCAGTGAAAAATTATGAGCGTGCACCCCGAGGTTTCTCAAGTGGAGCTCAGCTTTCTTAAGCTGGAGCTCAGTAAAAAATTATCGGGTTGATTTCTAGCTTTCCGTCCAGAGCCATCTATGGTGATGAAGAGCCATCTATGGTGATGTGGGCCTAAGGAGTGAAATGCCTATGGCTGTGCCCATGATACATGACATTCGAAACTCACATGGAATGCAATAGCAGAAAGCAGAGTAGCAGGTCGGCAAACGTACACAAAACGTACACTGAATACACTTCGTCAAAAGCTAGAATGTGTTGCCAAATAATCGTAATGTTTTTTTTCTGAAAGGAACATGGAATGGAATGCCAGGTGTCCAATCTGTAATATACTACCCTACCGTGGAAATAAATGGTAGGAAATTGAGAAAAAAGTATGCAAAACGTTCTTGAGTAAGTCAGCTAACAACAGCGTCTCTCTCCTCGTTCATCTGGTGCCTGAACTATTGCCAAGTTTCTTTCCATGCTTTGTAACAATGCAAAGTATCGGCCCCAGCATGGGATCTGCGGGATGTGAGTACACAATACCCCTTCCATAACGCTACGGCGCCAGCCAAAACGCGAACCCAAGTCGCGCCGGAACCGACCGGCTGACGTTCGTCCACCACTGCCGCTCCACTGGCAGTTCACGGGCCCAGAGCGTCGCCCCGTCACGCCGAGAGGCGCCACAGCACCTCCATCCCCGCGGCCACGTAGCTGACGGCAGCGGCGCGGCAGGTCCGCCACAGCGGCGCGCCGAGAGGTGCCACGACACCCCCACCCCCGCGGCTCCGTAGCTGACGACAGCGGCGCGGCAGGCCCGGAACAGCGGCGCGCCGCTCGCCCAGCAAAGCGTTTGCGCGCGGCTGGCGCGCCGGCCGCCGCCGGTGCGGGCCGGTCCGCCGGACATCGGCCCAGCGGCTGACGTCTCTATGTGTGTTCTCTCGAGCTCGTCCTGTGCCCCAACGCCAGCTCTACAAGCCGAGCCGACCTTGATTCTTGACGTTGGGACATCGTCGGAGGAGTATTCCTGCCCGCGGCGCGAGCGCAGCGGTCCCGATGCTGAAGGTCAAGGCGGTCCTACAGGGTCACGCGCCGCCCCTCTTTGTCACGGCGACACGTCCGAAGGGTGACACAATCTGACCTTGCCCACGCGGCCGCCGGGGCCGTCCCCGGTGCGACGCCATGAGTGGCCACTGAATCGCGTCGGGTATGCGGCAACGTCTGCCCATGGCGTCCGACGCATGGCAAGTGGTCGCAAGGCTCAGCCCAGCGCGGCGCAGCACGAACGCCCCGGGAGGCGTCGCACCATCGCCCGCCGATCACGACCAGCCAGCGCGTTTCAACCGGCCCGATCGGACCAAACGGGCACATCGCGACGGTTCCAACCGTCGTGTGACGCCCGCGGCGGCCCTGACCCGGCGCCGCTGACCTGTCCTGGTGCGGCCGGTCCTCCTGACCCCAGCCACTGTGTGACGCCCGCGGCGGCTCTGACCCGGCGCCGCTGACCTGTCCTGGTGCGGCCGGTCCTCCTGACCCCAGCCACTGTGTGACGCCTGCGGCGGCTCTGACCCGGCGCCGCTGAACTGTCCAGGCGCGGCCGGTCCTCCTGACCCCAGCCACTGTGACGCCTGCGGCGGCTCTGACCCGGCGCCGCTGAACTGTCCTGGTGCGGCCGGTCCTCCTGACCCCAGCCACTGTGTGATGCCCGCGCCGGCCCTGACCCGGCGCCGCTGAACTGTCCTGGTGCGGCCGGTCCCCCCGATCCCAACTGCTGTGTGACGCCCGCGGAGGCCCTGACCACGTGCCGCTGACCTGTCCTGACGCGCGGCGCGCGGAGCCGCTTGGGCGCCGCCCGGCGGCGCTGGCGGCGGCCGGCGCCAGAGGGCGGCGCGGGCGGCCGGCCGGCCGACCCCAGCTAGGGTGGGCGGCCGCGGCGAGAGCAGTCAGTGTGCGCCGGACGGCCGACGGGGACGGTTTGAGCGTCCAGCGCCCGGCCGAGCGAGCGCGTGCGGACAGTGCTGATTGAGAGTTCCCCCGAACTGCAATAGAGCACGGACGGAGAGGCGGCCCCGCCACCAGCAGCGGAGGAAACCTACGACATGGACGCAGACAAGGCGCGTAACACTGGCGACGCCGAGTGGAGCTCACGCGAGGGCACGGTGAGTGTCGGACGGCGAGGCGCGCCTGCCGGCCGACGTGGTCCTCCACGCGCTCGGGCCGGACAGCCTCAGCTGTCTGGCAAAGGACGGCGGGCTGGCCAGCCGTCAGGTTAGACCACTAGCCACCCAAGCCGGGCAAAGCCCACCGCCGTCGCTAAGTGACGGCGGCCGATGTAATGAACGCAGCCGGCCTGACCACGGGCGAGTGACTCGCCGTCCACTGGGACGGCTGGTTTCACTCAGGGGGTCAGTCCCGCCCAGGTCATCGCCCACCACCGCACTCCGTACACCGCGACAAGGGAACGGACCGCGGCGGGTGCAGACCCGCGCCGGGGTCATCACACCGCGCGGACGCACTCCCGGCCCGCCCTGTCCGCCAGCCCCGCCCCGCCGGCCCGCGTCGCACAAACAGCGGCCGTCGCGAGCACGACGGCCGGGCATGCACCGGCCACCGAGCGCCTGTTTCCCAACCGGCCAAGCCAGCCACCGGCAGCTGCCAGCTTTCTCCGGGCAGGAGGTGTGCATACGGCATGCCGACTCGGCCCGGCCACAAAGGACGCAGTGTCACAGCTGCTGGCGCGCCCGCCGCCACCGCCGCCGGCGCCACGGCCGGCGATCACGCCCACATTGCCTCATCGGGCCGACCGGCCGACCTGGGCCGCGCCGGCCCATTTGGGACAATTAGGTCCCCGACCCCGCCGGCTGCCGCCTGCCCCAACCGAGTCAAGGCTTCGTGCCGACCCGTCAAGAAAACGACCGCCCCCGCCGCCTCGACGGGCCGCGCGTTACGCGCCTGGCGCAACGGGCGCGCGCGTGTTGACCGAGCGCCGGTGTGCCGGCCTGGGTGCAGGCTCTGGCGTGGCCCCGGTCAGCGCAGCCGCTGACCGGAGCCCGACGAAAGTGAAAAGGTTGGCCGGCCTTGACTACCGCGCGGCCGACGGCCGACCGCGGCGGCGGAGGCGGCGATAAAAAAACGGCGCGTCCGACCAGCGGCGCGCAGGCGAGATGCACCGGAGAGCCGCGCGGAGGGGCGACACAACCGGTGCACAGCAGCCGACACCGCTGTCGAAACCGGCTCCCCCTACCTGACCTTCAGGGCGGGCCCAGAACAGTTCAGGCGACAAACAGACTTTGTCAAACCCGACGTAATGACTGGCGCACCGGACTGCTTCTGGCAAGGCTGGAATAACAGCGCACGCGAGCAGCGGTGGCGGCGCCGCAGAAGCATGTCAAGGACCCGGCGCCAGCATCACGGGAAATCGGCCTCCGGCTGGCCGGACCGGCGAGGAATTCCCAGACCAGCAAGGCGGCGGCACGGCCGCCGATGACCACCGCGCGCGCGCGGAACTTGATCGGCTGGCAGGCGACGCGTCCACCCCCAGCCTGGCGAGGGCCCGGGCACGGGCCAACACCGTCCGGGCGGTCAAGCGCGACGCCTGCTGGCCCTGAGCTTTCGGGTAATGCTCGAGAACAGACAGCGCCGTCGGACACTTAACCCAGCCTTGAGCTAGAATCCAGCCGGCCGGCCGGCCGGAGGCGGAGGCCGGGCCGGCCCTTGCTTTAGCGGAGCCGCAGCGGTATCGGCATATATTATATTTATATTATATACCAGGCTGATATTTTATCGTTGCTAGGAACAAATCACAAGGCAAGGAGACGCGAGTTTTGTTTTGTCGCGCCTTTCCGGACCACGCAGTACAGCATGGTCTCAGACCAGTGTAATCAGTGTAATCATTGTAATGTAGTGATCAGTGCAATATTCATGCTGTACGTACTCCCAAAACACAACAACATGTAACAGTTCATTGTACCAAGTCACTGGTACCAGAGATAGCAGTTACGTTCTGAGTTACGTGTAAACATAGCCCATTTCCGAGCCTTTTAAAGGTCAAAGGCCGTTGGAGGTCACGTAGGTCGGTAGTCAGATTAAGCCTATCAGGTATTCACCGCTCGCATTCCCCGATTTGACGTAAGCGATGAGGTCAACGGCAAGAGCTCTGCAAAAACCCACGGCTGCATCTTGAGAACAATGAACACCAATGGTCTGGTGTGTTGCTTTGTCTGTAATATTTACCGACTATGGCGGCGGAGAAACAAGGGGCAAATGTCTTTCGGTCCGGTCCCAGCGCACCGCACACCACCAGGTGCGACGGTCCGAGTCGGCACGTGGCGTCACGCCCGAGCAACCGTGCGATGCGACGGGAGGCTGTCCGTCGCACCGGAGACAGACCGCAGCCCCACATGCCGGTCGGCCGGTCGGCTGGTCCGCCGCTGCGGCCGCGCCAGCATCGCCGCCGGCTTTCTCTCGCAGGGCGCCGCCGGCCAGCCCCGAGCAGGGTCGCCCCCTCCGGCCCGGCGCCGGTCAGTGCCAGCTACGGACGGCCTCAGGCTGGCCGGGGCCGGCGCCGTGGGAAGGGCCTGGTCGTGAGACAGCGGCGGTGCGCTCCTATACAACGTTGCGGTCGCCGGTGCTCGCCTCTTGTAACGCCGCTGCAGTCTACGGCCGGCCGGCCGGCGGTACGCCGGGACGGCCGGTCGCAGCTGCGGTCTCCTCATGGGCGGGTGCGCAGCGCGTGACTCACCGCCACTGCTCCACTGAACGGACCACGATCACGAATCCGTGTCTTTTTGGCGTGATTATCCGTCGGCTTAGCCGTTTCGAAATGGACAGCATACCCGAGTGAAATCATGAGTCGGAATTCGCAGTACGTTGGGGTGGCGCCAGCAGTCAGGCAATGTTATGCATGTTCGCCTAACGCTACAAGGCCACCTAGCAGTCTCCATAACACGAAGCCTATTTTTGGGCGCACACTGACTGAATGGAAACTGCTCGACTGATGACGGACGCTGAAACATGACGCAGACGACCGCCCTCGAGTGTATGGCAATGCCGTGAATGCGCGACACCGGGCCCCGCCCGCAGCTTGTTGCTCACGCCCAGCGTCGACGGAACGCCCCGTTGTCTTTGTTCGCGCACCGGCAATACCTGTCACTTACCTTCGGATCGAACCAGTGTTCAGGCCCGCGGCAAACCCGACCAACAAGCCCTGTTGACCTCTGTGATATCTTGATCTGATTGTCAAACCCTTTCGACTATCCCGCGACCGTTATGAGCCGGCAAACAAAAACAGGTCCACTGACGTCACCGACACACGACAATAAACAGTGTCTTTTTGAGTGGGCTGGTGCTAGCACTTGTTCTAGCTGGTGGCGTTCATAACATGACATGCGGAAAGAAGGCTGAACACGGGCTTCACCGGGGACGGATTCAAGGGCTGGGAAACGTGGAGGTGACCCCACGGCGGAGAAAACGCTTATGTTTCACCTCTATCGGCTCGGTTCTCGGGAAACAACGCGGCATTCCGAACTTGGCCCCCTCCCAGGCTCACTGCTGGATACGGCCTTGGGTTTCAATCGGGCGACTTTTTTGTGTTCAAACCGATGAATTTTCGGAATGCCGCGTCCGCACACAGATTGTGACGAAATACAACATATCCACTAATTACGAGTAACGGAATGTGTTTTAGTTGAGAACGATAATGCGGAGAGTCAAGAACAAAGGTGAACGCGATTCTCCGATCCCAAAAGCTTGCCACGTGTCCGTAACATAACCAGGCGGCCAAGCAGCTCGATCACAAGACCCCTTATCAGAACCGATCAGTTTCCCAGCGGGATTCCTCGCGGAGTTCAGTCCGCCGTTACCACATAACGTGGCAGGCCGTGGCAATTCCCGCCAATGCCTTCAACCCGGCAGCAGGCGCCTGTCTTCGTCTCGTCACGGCTGCCTGTTTCGACCGCCGCCATGGCCTCCTGATTTCCCGTTTGCGCCTCGCCCCGACTGCTAGTCCGAGCCGGCCGCCCTGGTCGCCTGACCGCCCGTTCGGCCACCGCCCCGAGCCCTGCCCAGCTGTGTTCAGCCACAGCGCTGACCGTCCGCCGGTGTGTTTCCAGCCGCTGCGCTCGCTACCTGGCTTCACGGTGCTGCCGAGCGGGCCGGGGGAGGCGGCGCCCAGTGGCCGGCCCTCGTTCTACCTGAGCCGGCCGCAGCTGGACGAGCCCTGGTTCGGCAGAGCCGGCGGCTCCGCACACTACGACGCCGAGAACGCCAGCGGCAGCGGCAGCGACGACGCCGACTCCATGTCATCGTCCACCGGCGGACTGTTCGTGAGTATTGACCCGCTTCGGCGCAGCGCTCGCATCGGCCTGCATGCGTCAGTCTTTTGTCCTGATTAATACCACAGAAAGCGTTTCGCAACCGTTCCCATTCGGCTGCGTCTGCGGGCTGCTTGCAGCGGGCCTTTCCGCCAGCGGACCGGTCTGCTGCCCCTCCCCCCCCCCCCCCCCTCCTCCACCCAGTCGTCGGACGGGTGGCACGTAGCGGCTCGTGGGAAGCGACGCTCACGTGGCCTTTGACCGCGGCGTCAACCCGTGGCCCTGGCAACAGGCGCCGGCCCGGACCGGTGCGGTAAACACAGGGCGTGGCGTCCTTTTTACTTGGAAACGACAGGCCAGGCCCGCGACATGGGCAAAACGCAAACGGCGTCCAAGGCTACATCCAGCCAAGGGTATCCCAATCGCAGGGGCGTGCCTCTCGGTTGGCAACTCCACGGAGAGCCGAGAACCGCGCCATGCCAAACAGCCTATCGTCACTCACAGACGGCCAGCCAGAGGCACCCAAATGGCGGGTTCAGCAGCTGCTGGTGAGGCTAAGATGTCGTGACACGCGAAGCGTTGCGGCAATTGTCGTAGTCAAAGCAACTATGCGCTCATTTAGCTCTCAAAGAGGAGCCTGTCGGCCTCATTCGAGGTTTAACGAGGGGCCAATGACAAGCAAACACCCTGCACAGCGTTAGAGCCGTTCCCAGCCGAGCGGCGCCGCTATGGCGGCGGTTGGTGAGCGCCGGTGAGACGCGCCCTCCTCCGCGGCTCGCCCGGTACAGAGACGGCGCCCGACGGCTGCCGAGCGGCCACCGCGCGCCAGCTGAACCCGCGCCGGCCGAACCCGCACCGGGTCCGCCACCGCCGGCGCCCACGGTCCGTGGGAAGCTGCAGCGGTCGGGCGGACGATGACGAGGCGCCCGCCCGCCGCAAAACGGTGCCGCAAACGAGGTAGGCCGGGTCGCACCGCCGACCGCCGCGGCGGCCGGCGGCGGGCAAACAGGGCCCGCGCGTGCCGCGGCCGTCGCACGCAGGGCGCCGCGAACCCTGCCCGGCCGGACGCCAAACACAAACACGTCGGCACGCGGGCCCGGGTGCAGCCCGGCGCCGGCGGCGGCGGGCTCCGTGTTCGGTCTGCCGGCTCGCCTGAATGCGGTCGTCGTCGGGTGCGGACGCCCGGACCCACCAGCTCCGGCCGTCGCCCGCGGGACGGTCGCGGCCTCGCGGGTCCACCGGCGGCGGCAGGCCCGCAGACGCGGCTCGTAAAACGCGGGCGGAGGGGTCGCCACGCCCACCGCGGCGTGCCCCTGCGCGATCGGCGCTTGCACAAGCCCCGCCGCCGGGAGATGCCGGAGGCCGGGCGGGCGGCCCAATAACGGACGATAGGCGGCTCGGTTTCATCACCGCGGCCGTCAGTGAGGCAACGTCGCCCTGCACACCGCATCGCGCGCGCCGGGTCAAGGGTGCGGGGCGCAGCCGCACGCACGCCGCTGCGTCCGCCGCCCCCGCGCTCTGGCGTCGTCAACCGAGACCCGACACGACCCCGCACCCCGACCGACCAGGTCAGGTCAGGGCAGGTCACAGCGGTGGGACTTAGACCCTTTGTAAGTTGACCCTTTGAGTCTTCGCTGCCGCTGGACTAAATATCTTCAAGGCGCTGAATCCCACGCGGATTAAGGCATTGTCTCCATCGCACACCATTAAATACGTGGCGTGGGTTAAACTGCATAACGGAGCACTGCCCAGGAGACAAGTCAGGCCGGTCTGCCAGACCACCGTCCGGCCGGTCTGCCAGACCACCTGTGCTATCTTCGGCTGACGGCTCGCCGTTACGTTCTTCACGACGGAAAACATGCCGTCGTTAGGCACTGGGGGTTCTTGCTCGATGTCAACACCACGTGCTCACCCCGCAACCGTTCCCAACACGTCACGTGAATCGCAAATTTAGAACAAAACACACGCAAGCACTCGGCCCGCTGTGTGGCTCAAGTGAACAGCGGAGAGACGCTGCCCCGGGCGCAGGCCCGCTCAACTGACCCGGTCACGCCCGAGTGGACCGGCGGCCCACGTGACGCGTCACGTGACCGGCCTGCTCGGGGACGAGCAGCGCGCCAAGGTCGGCCGGTCGGCTGCCGGGGCTCGCTGTAGGGTTGTGACCTTGTCGGCTGAAGCTGCTGGCGCTGCGAGTTGCGACACCGGACGCCTGCGCCGTGGCGCCCCGCCCCGGCGTCCGGCGGTCGCGGCCGCGGCCACCTGGCGCCCCAGCTCTCGCAGCGCAGGGATGGCTCGTACGGCCGGTGGCCGTGAGCGCCCCGGCCCCGAGAGCTCGACAGACGTGTGCTCGCGTGACCTGATGCGGGTCACCGGCGACCGGCGGGTCCGGCGGCGGAGCGGTCTCGCCGGCGACGCGGCGGCGCCGGACTGGGGCTGACCCGGCCGGCCAGGCCGTCCGCCGCGGCCGGATGTGGGCCTTTCCGAGAGCAAGCGGCGGCGACCCGACGCGGCGCGGCTGCACGCCCGCCGTGACCCGGGCGGCAGTGAGACGAACACACCGGACCGCTGACGTCAGACACACGGAGAGCGGGCTGTGTGGTGTGCCGTGCGACATCGCCGATCGCTTCCAGTGATGGGCCTTATTGGGCGCTCTCTTTGAAGGACGAACAACCTGTATTTCGACCAGCGCCCACAAGAACCAATCTGCCGTGCCAGATTTAAAGGAGCTAAGAACGTCGACTAACAATGCACATTTGCAGAGGGCTCTATTTTGCCAACACCGCACCATTCACCTTGCCAAGGCCACTTCTAATACAGCGGTTATGCAGCTCGCTCAAAATGTAAACCGTAAAGTAAGGCATGTAAGGCCAACATGACAACCAGGGGCAGCATGAGGCATTCGCTAATCCAGTCGCAATGCTTCTCAAGTGTGCCAATGGAATCGCAGCCAGATGTTCAAGTTTCCACGTGACCATCCATGCTCATGGCCATCGTCTCCTTCCAGACCAGCATCAGCATCCCGGTGCCGAAACAGCCGGTGAAGAAGTCGCTGAGCCCGACACCGTCCTTCACGTACATCGACGCCAGGGCGGCCATGGCGGCGCGCAAGCAGACAGTCAGCTGCTGCGCCTCCAAGTCCGTCCTCAAGATCACCCTCACGTTCTGCGTGTCCTTCCTGCTCGGCATGATTCTCACCGTCATCTACATGGAGGGTGAGTACCATGTCGCCGTTCTCAGGGGAATACGCATGAGTCACGCTTTGGTCAACGTCCCTGAAGAATGCTTGCGATCGTCCCCGTCATCCACTGTCACTCTCATCTGTCCACATGCGGACGTACGCCGGGCGCCGCGGTCTTCACGGTCCTCTGCGTGACTACCCGATTCCCTGACACCGTCTCCGTTCGGGGCACGGCGCGTGCTCACGCCGACTGGCGCGCCGTGCGCCGGACGGGGTCGTGTTCCGGCTCCCACCGTTACATCCGCCGCCGCACCTGGGCGCGTCCGCCCTCGTGCCACCGCGCGCCGGCCGCCCGCCGCCGCCGAGCCGGGCCGGGCCGGGCTTGGCGGCCCCCGGCCGGCCGCTCCCAGCGGCGGGTCGCGCTCCCCCGGCACCAGTGCATCAACAACCTGAAGCGCGACACGACGCCGGCGGCATCCCTCACGCGGGCGGCCGCAACTCAGGATCGGAAGCGCTGCAGCAGCAGCAGCAGCAGCACGTGCAAACCGGCTAATTTATGCGCGGATCGCCAGCCCGCTCGGCTCGACGACAGCGCCGCAGCGGCAGTGACGTCACGGACGGCAGCGCCTCGCGTGCAGGGCGTGAGGTCGCCGCCGGCGCCGTCTGTCGGAAACCGAGCCGGCCGACCGCAGCCGCCGACGGTCCGCCCGCCGGTCACGCACGCTCCACTGGACCGGTCGGCCGGTCGGGCCGGTCGGGCGCCCGCCACCGCTGCGTTGACAGCCGCGCTGGTGGCCGGCGGGGCTCAGCGGCGATCGGCGCGGACGGCGCGGTCGGCCGTCACTCACCGCCGCCGCCCGGGCTTGTGAATCGAGCCAGCTGACGGGGTCGATTAGGCGCCGCGCTCTGGAGCAGCCCGTCGGATTACCTTGTCTGCGTCGCCTCCCGGCGTGCACGGCGCCTGAGACGTGCCTTCCAGCGGGTCGTTCGCACAGGGCTCAATGACCGGCCTGTGTGTAGACCTGTGTGGCCGGTCAGACGCGGCGCCCCGGCCGTCAGATCCGTGAAAAAGAGCGCCGCCGGCCTGCCACAGACGGCCAGGTCACAGACGGCGTCCCGAGCCATCCCCTGACTGGTCAGGCGCCCCGTCGCCCCAGCCCTGACCGAGTTGGCGGCGCGACGGCCCCCACACTGATTGGGACCGGCCGACCACCCTCGGGCCGGGCCGGCCGGCCGGCCGGCGTGACCCTGACCGCAGCCGGCCGGCTATCAGGCGGTCCGTTTCGTCAGCGGCCGCCGCAGCTGGCACCGGCGGGCTGTGACTAACACCACACGCACGCCGGCACGCCTGCCGCCTCCCCGGCCCGCGCCGAGACCGCGCGGCAGATCTCGAACGGTACCGTCCGCCGCACGAGCATGAGTCGCACGTGGCGCACGTGGCGCGCGTCGGCGCGGGAGGAGCGCCGGCACGTCATGAGTCGGCAGCAGGGCGGCGGCGTGACGTTACGGCCTCCGTGCCGGCCGGCGGTCAGCGCGGCAAGGTCGCCACGCATCCGAGCACAGGTGGCCGGCGCCTGCGGCCGGCGCCGCCGACAGCGCCCGAGGTCTCGTCTGGCGGGCGGCACGGCTGGCGACGGGCCATGACTCCCGGCGGAGCGGGCACCATGTGTGAGGAGGCATTGACGTCACAGCAGTGCGACGCGCCGGGCGACGGTAGCCAGGTCTTATTGTGCGCTGCAGGGATGCTACGCTTTCGTGCGGGCTATCTGGCGTTTGGACGGCCTTGTCATGCGCCGTGCTCTTAGCACATGCAGACAGTGGTAATCGTTCTGTCCACAGAGCCATGCACATACGCCCTCACCCGCCATTTCCGACGCTATCTCCGGAATGTTTGTGTTTGATCAACACCCGGGGTGGACCACTTGGCCATGACACACACGCCCACAGTGCAAGCAGGCTGATTCTCCGCAATCCGGCAGGCATTCAAAGCCTTAGTCGACGTTCGTGTCATCACAGAGCACGCACTTCTGGCTTCCTGGTGGCCGAATGCGCTAGCAGTGGCGCGGTTTGCCGAACAGACCAGCAAAACCACGGAAATAGGCGCCGGTTGCAGTGCGACGATAAGATCAAAGCGGAGGTGTCCTGCCTGCCACGTTATGTCCGCCCGCCATGCAGGCCAAGGTCTGTCTTGTCCCGCGCGCCCATGGTCGGCAGTCGACTGGCATTGTTCGCTCTCCGACCGCCAACCAGCACCGACGCGGCCCACCAACCGCACCGCCGCCGCCTCCGCAAACTGACCGCAGCGCCCCGTCCCGTTAGCGTGAGGTACCACACCCATTCCTGGTTGTGTGCCCCCCCCCCCATGGCACTGCTTCGAGCGTCGAATCCTTCCCCCCCCCCCGCCCCGATGAAGCGTGTGTCTGCGTATCTGCAGCTGCCGTGGGCGTCAGCTGACGCCGCCGTCTCCTCCGTTCCAGTGTACCTGTGGAGGCGGTGATAGTGCCGCCGGCGGAGGGCCCGCCTGCCGGCCCCGGACGTCGCCCTCCACGCCGAGCGGGGGCAGGGCCGACCCCACGCCGGCCCCGAGTGACGGACCACCGCCGTGCCACCCGGCCCGGTCCGAAGCCGGCCGCCGGAGGCGTGCCCGGCCACGCTCGGCCGGCCAGGGGCGCGGCCGACCCCGCTCGGTCGCGGACGGCAGCTCCGACGCACCGCGCCACGCCGCGCGCCACGGTCGCGCCGCGTACCTAACTGGACACGCACGTCAAGTCGCAATGGGCATATGTGTAAAAATGGGCCGACAGCGCGTGCTATTTATTTCCAATCGCCTTGTCGAAGCGGTGTACTTTTCCCACCGTCAGTGATGCCGGCGCACGCTAAGTGGCGCGTGCGTCGGGAGATAAAAATGTCGGTCGAATTAATACTTCCTTAGTGGCGGCGGTTCCCTTTTTGTGGACTGTGCACGCTATCCGACTGCGGGTTTGTGCCGTGCCCATCGAAGCGATTTTCAGGAGTGTCTCTGTAAATAGTGACCTGAGCTTGCTCACGTGTTTACTGACTGTCAGTGGTCGGTGTAAATAAAATATTCTTATCAAAGGCTGCAGTCTACAGGGCGGTCTGAGAAACCCACACAGTGGGAAATTCCGAACATCAAATCCGCCTAACCGCTTGCACACAGCTTCAAGGCGAACTTCTCGAGGACTGCTTGTAATCCTATTCGCAAAAAAACGAAAATGACCGCCAGATACTGGTTAACACGCAACTGCCATCACAGTTCATGCGTCAAGGCCGTGCGGCGTTCTAAAACAAATGTCATGGACGACAGCACATTTAAAAGGAAATGTTCGGTTTCCTTATCCGACCGCTGCGTACCAGAACTTTGCGTGTCACCACGTCAGCTCTGTCGATCCGACTTGGCTTCACATCCCGCTGACTTGATTCTGACTCCTGCCACGATTAACACAGTCAATTTCAGTATACTCCGATTCAGACTCAGGAACACGTGGCTTCCAGTCAGTATTCACACAGATGGGGTTGATTTCCGCAACACCAGGTTACGAAATGAACTGCTATCATGGGCTACAAACAAACTCGAATCTTTGTTGATATTTGTGCGGCACTCAATCGACGAATCGATGACTAAAGCATATCGGTTCACTCATCCGCGATTCCAACCCACAGACCTTCGGAGGGATTGAATCCGCCTAGGCTTGACGAGCATTTGGTTGATTCTGGTATCGGCTCCTATTACACCTGGACTGACCCACAGATAAGGTTAATGCCAGGACTCGTTTGCCACAGCCCAGTTTTCACCAGCATCGGGCTGCCCTGAAGTCAGTCAGGTTGTGCGAAGGGATTTATCTCGCGGGATTTGTATTTCCCGCCCCCTTCACGGAATAGTTAGAATAGGTGCGAAACACCGTTTACGTTCTGTTAAGTATTAGAAAGGTACGAAAGCATATACGTCAATAGTTGTTTTGTGGGCAAAGAGATACGCTGGAGAAGGGAGTCCACATATTCACCAACTCATTCCATTTCAAATCAAACCATTCGTCAAATCACTCTCTTGGGAGGGATGGAGTATACCGTCGAAGCAGCGGCGTGGTTTTGCCAGAGAAGTTTTTTGGGAGGGGGGAGGGGCGGAGCAGACAAGAATGGCTAAACCACCTTCAAGTCCGCCGAAAACGAGGCATCACAAGATTTTGGGGGACAGCTCTCTTTTCTCTCCATGCTGGGGAAGGGAGAGGGCTGCAGTTCCCGACTGGAAAAAATGCCACCCCTGCAGCAACCCACAAGAATAAACGTTTCCGGTATGCTGCTCCTTCTCCTATTCGTGACAAGCCAGTTTTGACATAAAGGATAGCGTGTCCAAAAACTCATCTCCTCACACATTAACAACCAGTGAGAGGCATGACAGTGTGGGGGGGGGGAATGCATCCCGGTTAGATAAATACACCACTTGAAGCATACGAAACAACCAAGTCACCCCTACATAATGAATGCTGTATTCACCACAACGAAATTTGAAGCATGCACACAACGCTAATGAAGCGCAACAAACCAAAGGTAATTCCATCCTTTTTCGCCGGTAATCATAGGCCATTTCTAAACACCCGTAGAAATTAGCTCATAACTCTCCAACATACCAAAGCCGATCATCGAAAGCTCAGCTTGGAGAACAGTCACACTATAACCGATTATTATTGGAATCCCATGGTAAGGATTATAAAGGACTATGGGATTATATACATAGATTTCCCGCGCCGCTTGTATGCAATAAGAACAAAACCTCAACAAATACCCAGTAAAGACCAACGGTCCGCGAGGGCCACGTTAACGTCAGTGTTCGGGCTTAGCAAGGCCACGAAAAATCAGCGCGATGCCTTCAGCGGGCCTGTTCAAGGCATTCTTCGGCAAGCTGTAGTTTGCCGACGTGAAACCCCGTCTGATCCGGCCTCCAAGCACCGTCCTAATCCAGCTCTTCTGGAGAGCACCCGCTACCGCAGCATTCCGTCCGCGCCCTGGCACGGCAAGGCCGTCTGTATGCATGGCCATTCATGATGTTCGTGTTCACGTGATGAATGAAGCAGCGGTGATGGCAGAGCCAAGCAAAGGCAGCGAGCCGCCGGGAACGCTGTCGCAAATACATTGTAATGTGACGCACATCGGACGACAGAACGCCCTCTGCGGGGCGTTGAAGGCCCGCTGAGACGGTGACAGTCATGGGTGCCGTCACGCGACAGTCACATGGGGGCAATGTGGCTGCTTTTCGCCTAGCTGATCGCTTTGAGTCCTGTGTCGGGTGCATGCGAATCAAGATAGGTTTACGTTGAAAACTTATGCGTTTGACTAAATATATCTGTCCATGGCACCTGAAAAAGTCACAGACATAAACAGGCAGGTGATTTTGATCACCGCTCGCGTCTAAAGCAGGAAAGTTTACTTTACCCAGCACTAACCCATTTCCAGTACGGCTGTCAATATCCGTGAGACGGATGGCCGCCAACAACAGAACAGATGTTTGAAGGATCTGATCAATTCACCGTCAGGTTTTGTGGCTGGCTTTGTCCCTCGCTTTGGCGTTGGAGAACACGAATTGATCTCATAGTTAGTAATCGGGACTACCGTGGCAACTTGAATACCATATTGTGTCAGCCATCTCATGATCATGAGACTCAGTCACGACCCCACGGAAACTGCTGTAATTATTTGGATAGCACTGTGTCGACATAGCGCCTTGCGTGCTCTCTTACCGCTCATTACAAAGGCTTGCTTTGGAAACCCTTTTACATTGCAGGAGTTTTCCAAAACTTCCCTTAACAGTTTACCACAGCCCTTGCGGCCGCGCCTGACCACTGAGCCCTGCGTGACCAAGGGAAGAGGTAAATGGTGGGACGCCGCCGCGGCCCGGGCAGGCTGTCCCGCCACCGGGTTTCGACCTCGGCGCGTGTGCGGTCGCTCGGACAGGACGCCCGTCCCCGTGGCCGCAACGCCGCTCATGGCAGGCGACCGCAGTGCCTCCCGTGACAAAGGAAGGCGCCACATTGTGAGATGAAGGGAGGAGCCAGGACACATAAGAAGAATGATTGCATAAGCAATCGAGCCCACCAGTGACTGAGGAAACATTTTGGCTGCTAGAGGAAAAACCTAAACACGCTTAGTGAGCTAAAAAGGTTTTTTGATAGTGATAAGCAGTCAAGCAGATACACAGTCCGCCACATTGGTTTTTAAACGGAAAATAAGAGCGTTTGAGGACGAATTCTGGAAAATTGGACTAGCAGACCCAAGCGGACAAGCCAAACCCCGGCACGCGCGCAGAGTAAATATTCGACCAAACACGTGGTGCTCTACCTCTGACAGCACTTGCAGTGTCCGACCGGGAACGATCATCCGGATAATCCACGTTTCATTTGCTTGGCTTCAGCGCACATCGTCATTCTGGGGTCAATTCCCGATGCCCAGGTCGTCACACCGCCTGCGGTCCAGACATGCTGGTCCTCGTCACCTGCGACTGTGACGACCCCGCCCCACACCGGCCGTCGACCGCCGCCCCCTCCCCGCGCACCCCCCCCCCCCCCCCTGCCACGCGCACCACCTCAGCCTGTCAGCGGGCGGCGTACCGACCAGCCGACACCCGACCCGCTCCGCCGGGCGCCGATGCCGGTCCGACACCGTACACTGCTGATGCACCTCGCGGAAGCGGAAGCCAGCGGCGGCGGCGCGGAGCCGAGCGGGCGCTGGTGTCAGCCCGAGGCGCCCACGCCCGTCCACCCCGCCTGCCCGGCTCCAGGAGGCGCGGGGCGGCGCGGGGTGGGGTGGGTGATGACAGGCACCGCTGGCGGCACCGGCCAACGATGGGCCGCGAAGGCCGCAGGACCAGACACAGCGTCCAGCAAGTACAGCAGCTATGGTTACCATTGGGAGAAGTCGGCTCCAGATCACGCAACAAGAGCGGCAAAGTGTGAGCTGGGATCCCTGAAATCCCTCCGGCCAAAAGGTTCGGAAAACTTGAAGAATAAAAAGATGATGTAATATTCCAAGGTTGGCTGGTCAACACGTATGAAAGATTATGCACACAGATATATTTATCTGCCAGATATTGTTAATTCCCATTGACCACAAAGGAAGACTGCAAAGCTCTTTCATAAAATGTCAACTTTACATACGTCTTTTTTGCCTGAACACCGTCATGGGGAAAGCTGGCTTTACCGATGAGGGAAAAGATACACAATTTGATTTATTTGCTTAATGACTAAATTTGGGTACCAATAACTAACATCTATGAAACAGTTATTAGATACAAAGTCCTCTTGCTCAAACAATCACAATTGTCACGGGGTCTCTAAGATCTGTCGCAAAAACATAAAGATTGCCATTGTGTAAAATAAGGTTGTTGGTACTTGCGACGTCCTGGCTTTGGACTACCGAGGGACATGCGCGTGAATTTGGCCGACCAATCAAAGATACGCCAAGTGTTCCAACACGAATGTCAACGCTTTTGTTAGTTCACATAACTCAGGCTGCATTGACATTATATGCACACCTGGACTTACTAAGGGCTTTTGTTGTTCTCAGACTCAAGATACAGACGGGTAGAGCTTTCTGGTCTCTCTGACTTAGTTTTCATTCTTCAAATCATAAAAAGACGATATGACGAAATCAAGCATCATGTCTACGGCGTGACGCATACCAGACGCGGCGCGACGTGACGCAAGCGTCATCTATGCCTCGCACAGTGCAGCCACCTATACCCTCACCACGTACACAAACTGCCAGTGCGCGCGGCCGCCACCAGGTGGCCGACTGACCTCGAGCTCCTGCAGCGTCTGGGTCCACTGGTACTTGTCCAGGTCACAGCCATTGCCTGCGTTAGGCTTCAGCTTGCCCTTCGACTCCTCGTCACTTTCGTCCCCAGACTCGGCCTTCTTGTCCTCGTCCTCCGCCTTCGCTGGGGCCGTGGCCGCCGCCCCCTTCGCCTGAGATGGAGGGAACACACTGCAGACAACCGGAGTACGAACACGCGCGAATGAGCTGCCTAGCTCGGGGCTGGTGGGGTGCACTTACTCCCCAATAATGTTGCTGTAGTAGCGCAGTAACAACTAACAATTACTGCGGTCAGGAGTGTGCTGTGCACATACACTGAGAGGAGACAGGCAATGAACTAAATAACAGACAGGCCCAGACCATTTGGCTGTCGAGTTTCTCCCCGAAAACATAAGAAGAGATGCACTGAGAAAGTGCTCTGCTGCCATCCAGTCATCTTTCCCCACACGTTCTGGCAATCCACTCCAAACTGGCTGAGTTCCCGAACTTAAACCATTTAACCTGCACACGTCAAACGCATTTCACGCATTCCCATCATGCAGCCATAATGCACATGAAAATCATGCCTTAAGGACAAGGAAAACCGAATTCCGGTAACAGCTACAACTTGACACTGATCCAAGCTAATCAATGTAAAGAGCTTTATCAGGGCTATGCTTCCTGATAAGCAGGCCCTGAAGAATGCTATAACCTGACAACATGCATCCCAACTAACAGAACAGTTATTGTGTTAATTGGCATGCCATGGTGCGCATTTTAAGTTAGCCGTGAAATTCTAGCCAGCGACGCCACATTGTCTCCATGCTGACAGCATTGGTGATAACGGAGAAACAGCCTTCATGCGGCCGCGTCTCCCCGCTCTAGCTGCACCTTCTCGTCCAGTTCGCGCTGGATGCGGGCGGCTTCCTCGTCCGAGACCTCACGGATCTGCGGCTCCTGCTGCTGCGCCTGCTCCTGCTGCCTCTCGCGCTCCAGGCGCTCGCGCTTCTTGCGGTCGGCCTCCTCGTTCTGTCGCCTCTTCTGGTCCTTGGCTTCGCGAGCCTGCTGTCCGTGCTCCAAGAACTTGTCCAGCACCAACTGAAACCGAGGCGCCGCGCACGGTCAGGCCCGGCGCCCTGCCGCCCGGCACTGAAGATCCGGGAGTCCAGAGGCGAGAGCCAGGTGGAGCCAGCGGCGCGGAGGAGACGGGTCACTGAAGACCCGGGAGTCCAGAGGCGAGAGCCAGGTGGAGCCAGCGGCGCGGAGGAGGCGGGTCACTGAAGACCCGGGAGTCCAGAGGCGAGAGCCAGGTGGAGCCAGCGGCGCGGCGGAGACGGGTATTTGCGGGCCAAGCGTGCAGGCGAATCCGCGATACAAAACAGGTCCGGCACACACAAAGCTAACGCCACAGCCAAGTGCCAAGCCCACAGCCTAAGTGGCATCTGAGCATGACGCGCGGCGCCCGACGGGAGCTAGCCTAGGATCATGATGCTCGTACACACTGCCTAAAAAAAAAAAACGTCAAAGCCCCTTCAAAAGTGTGGATCATGACATCATAGTTGACCAAGCCAATGTTCTATTCATTGAATTTGATGCTTTGGGGAACGCTGGCACCAGTGAGGTCATTTTGCGCCCAAAATCAAGCCTCAATTAAACTTTAAGAACCATGTGGCGCTATGTAACGTAGCGCCACATGGTATATCACGCGACATAAGCAAAGCCCAAAAACAACTAGTTCATTTCCTAGTAATCTATGGCAATAAATAATGTCCTGATGCATGATCAGAAACGCACCGTCGGTAAGCACAGATCGCACACGCGTGACATATGAGCTGTCTTCAAGGCCCCCCCCCCCTCCTTCCCCCTGTAAGTGAGATAACCTCGAACGCGTATGAGGTCCTTGTATTAGACTGGGCTCGTCGCGCCTCGCCTCAACCTAACAGCTATGATCTTTTTGGCCATTTTTCAGGGGTCAGGGTTCAACATTTGAAAAATGAATGACTGAAGGCCAGTGCATTCATTCTACATTGCTCTCCCATCAGTAGAACTTCTGACCTGCTTTGCTGCTTCTTCAGTTGCTCCTGTGTAAAAATCGGTTTTCCGCGCCAGAAAGCTGAACACGGTGTCCAGCAGCTGAAAGAGAGCCAACCAGTGCACTAACAAGACTGATAATGATCTGCCACTCAACATATGTGGATTAGGAGGATGAGTCACCATCAATTGCACAGCCATTTTCAGTTCCACCGAAAAGAAGTGGGCAGCTACAACTGGAAGCATGCCACAGATGTGCATGCAAATGTTAAGTTGTTGGATGAGATAAGATGGCTACATGGGTATGAGCTAGACCATTGTTTGTTATTGAAGCTAAAAGACAAGGATTCAATTATCTTTTCACCACTGTGTAGAATGGAGAACTGATGGAAGGACTGTGTCCAAGAAATGTAAAATACAAAGATTTAGATAGAAAGACCGAATACTGATCACCTCACGCTTTGTGATAGCTTGTAAACTGGGCTCCTCACCTCCGGTATTCCACCTTCATGCTGCTGAGCCATAGCCAGGAGCATTCCATCGAACCTCTCCTTGTCCATGGTGCTGTCTATGGCACTGAACACTGCAAGAAAATCCAAGGAAACTGATCAGCAATTCATTCAGCAGCAGAATATACACGGGTCAAACAAGGCATGACAGAACTGTTGCCTACCAAAAATGCTTACGGAATCTTACTTATTGGTTGAATCTCTTGAGAGTACAGGACACAAACTGATCTCTGCAGAATGCATGGTACTCTGTAGAGTTGCCAACTCCTTATGGTGTTGCCTAAAAGACTGCTCAATATCATTCATAAGATGCAAAATTATAAAAGCATGAAAGCCAGGAAACTGAAAAATACTTTGCTTTCCTTTCTCTTTCTAGTGTGGTATTAGCATGTGTGCAGAACAATGACACCTTATTTTATCATGACACAAAACCTTTGACAAAAACACTTATGCTTTAACTGCAAGACATGTTCAAATGTCTTATTACTGGTAGAGGTGAGCATGTCAAAAATGTCTCGAACACAGCAGTAAAAACAGTTTTATTCAAAAACCTTCTTTATCTAAGCACAGCATGTCTTACAATTACCCACTCCTCCACCCACCATGGCTGCCTGCCACAGAGATGTTGCTGCTGGTGACAGGCTCAAGCATGTGGCTTATGAGATAGGAGAAGCTGGCCTAAGATGAATTTTCAGTGACAATACATTGGCAAGGATTAAGAGTCAGCTCAGAGTGGACTGGCTGCATCATGACAACAAATGGAATGGGAAAATTGAGTGGAAATTGTTGCATAATTCAATGGAATTGTTTAGCTGACTTCATAGAATAAGGGATTTTAAAGCAAGCTTCCATGGGTGGCATTATGTGTCAGGCAAGTGTGGAAGGCTCCACAGCAGCTTGAAAGCTGTTCCATGGCAACTACGTGGAGCAACTGATTGAATTTTAATGACATTTGAGATATTCCAATACACTGTTTTATAACTTACAGTGAACAATACATTACAAAATGCAAGAAAATATGCCAATATATTTTTGCTTCCAAGAGGCTGATTTCCTTCTCTCAATCTAATCATTAACCTGCCCAAATAATTAAGAACAGGTGTCCCATGCACACTGCTACAAGTCCTTGGTTACCATCAATTTTGTAGACTGCTACATTTAATTAAAAAATGTCTTACATGTGAGTTTGAATGAAAACAGAAGGCATCTTGATCCATAGACATGGATTTCCCATGCCTGCCCTCATGGTCTGCTTCTGACCCACACAACTTCAAGAACATTCCACCACTCATGTTTAAAAATACCTAGCTGGCTGTCCCTAGGCACCTATTAATTCATTGCACCTGTGACAAAGTATATGTTTAAAACACTGCCTTTTGTGGACTATTATGTCAATCTGATTGTCCAATTTACTTTTAATCAAATGGATTGCTACCAAGTGAATCCAAGGCAAGGACCCTTATGAATCAAAGGTCATCCAGCAACCAGGCCATAAATGATTGAAATGATCTTTTGCTTGTGGCATTATCAACCACCATTGGACAGCTTAAGTCCAGACCAAAATTAAGTGAGCTAACACCACGCATGGCATTCCTTACCAAACATGCCCCTAAAATGAAATTGTTTGGGCACCTGATTGGGAGCTGAGTGAGACTGGGATTGACAAGTCATGTGGCCTTTGTATTCCTAATTACCATGAGGAAAGGTAAGGCAAGGCAACTTATTAATATGCCATTGACCAAAAAATCCCAGTCAAATACCTTGGATTGTTTAAGACAATCGCCAAAAAGCACCCTCAGAATGTCATTGCCTGTAGCAAGCGGGCGAGCTCCGAGGCTCCAACTACAAGCCGGTTGGCTCTCCACTAAGTTCGCCCTTGCTTGACTTCGCTAGCGAATGAACTTATCACACACGTCTGCCCCAGCCCGACTACCTATCGTCATTATCTGCGTAGTCATTTACCTGATAATCCGGTTAACTATTCCACACCCTCGCAGCGGCACACACGCGACCAACTTCAACCAAGCACGCGGGGACCGCAGGGTGCCGAGAATGTTCCGTCATGTAAACATTGAGCCTGTTCGGATTGGAGCAGCAAATGCTGCCACACCAAAATGAGGCCCCAGTTAAAATTTGGTTGGCTGTGTGCCCACATCAGTATCTTGACAGTGAAAAAGTTTATAGTAGGCAAATAGAAGCGGCCTATTGCTCGTCAAAGTAGTATACTTAAGGGTAAAACATCTTGCGTATTTTATAGATTCCATGACGTCATTTTCCCGTGTGGTGTGCCTCATCGACCTCGACAAAATTGTCATAAGGTCAATGGGCTCAATAGTCCGATAGTGTTAGGTGTATTGGGTTTTTGTGTACAAAATGTGGATCAAATCGTATCGTCTACGTACCGGTTTTGCCCCGCTGTAAGCAATATTAAGGCATTCAGCAACTGGTTTTCGGCGTCATGAGAGCTCTTACGCCGAGTTCCAGTTCGAAGCTCAATGCACCGGTTGGTCATGCTGAGATCTCTGAGTGACATTTGAGATCACGGTCCTACGGGTGAGATCTTTCATATGGCATAAAGCCAGCGTTGTGGGCCTTTCAGCAATCTGGTCTCTGACCGAAATAGACACCCACATTGTCTCAGGGGTCATAAATCGGTGTAAGAGGCGCTCTGAATGATGTTTCACGTTACGGCCCTCCGGGGCGAGATCCTTTACGTTGATCATTTATGTATGTGGCCCACAGCCAACCCTTAGAGTCCTCAAGCCCTCTATTCTGGCTCTTGATCATCGGTCTCGGTGAGCACCCCGGAGGAGTCCAGGCCCCTCCTCGGGCCTCATGGAACACTGCCCTTGGCCGACTCGGGGCCCCCTGCTGATACATAACTCCCCGTTAGGCACCGTGGGCCTGTAACAGATACAGGGACCCGACCAGTGTATTTCGCTGGCCTCGGCTTTGTCGTTGCTTGGGAAGTGAGCTCTCAGGCCCATACCGATACGCAGCCGACCGTGCGGCACTGATGTTGCCTGGCCAACATGTAGACCCTGATCGACTCGGGGGGTACCCAATCGGCGCAAAGTCACTTCGAATTTCACCGGAAGGACTGTCACCGCGGCCCGGGACCCATGAAAAGGCTATGGCCAGCCCTTCATGCCCTTAGGCCTTCTGATCGGACATTTCATCGTCGGTCCCAGTGGGCCTTCCAGGCTCTCCCGGGACGCGTGGAACACTGCCTCTGGTCGACACAGGCTCCCTTGCCAACACAGGACCCCTGCTAGGCACTGTGGGCCCCTCACAGACGCTGGGGCCTTGACCATTGTAAATCGCTGGCCCCGACTTCGTCCCTGCTTGATAAATGGGCCCCTGAGGCCCATGCTAATACAGAGCCGACTGTGCAGTGCTAGTGGTGTTCGACTGGTGTAAAGGCCTGCATCGACTCATGGGGCCCCCGATTAGCGCACAGGGCCCTCTGTCTGGCGTGGAGTACCCGGCACTGCGGGCCAGGACCCCTGAATACCATCTCTGGCTAAATTTGGGGCCATTTGGGCCCCTTGGAACCAAAGAGGTCACGGGCACGTACCCCCTGTGCCCCCTGCCTGCGCCATTGATTGACAGTACTGACAGTATCAATAATGATTGTTCTATGGCATCGTTTAATTGCAGTAGGTACTTACCTCAATAAATGCTATATTGATAGTGTCGTCAATTCAACCAACATTTGCTTTATAATGTTGAACCAAAACCTCCTAGTGTATAGGAGGTCGATTACTCTCTAGCCACTGAACTTATTATCTGCTTTACCGACAGGTTCCACAAAGGCGCTTGCCCTTTACCCTATTAGCTGTGTAGGGGGCATCTGCAAATATCGGTATATGATTTATTACGGAAAGTTTTCAGGTTTCATAGGTTTCAACAAGTTCAGACAGGTTTCATAAAGGCGCTTGCCCTTTACCCTATTAGCTGTGTAGGGGTATCTGCAAATATTGGTATATGATTTGTTACGAAAAGTAAAAATGAGTCAGTGCGCAAGTGAAATGAAAAATAAGAGTTTGGTTCAATTATATATAAGAAAAGACTGGGCGTATACACCCTCCTAAACGGAGGGCGGTTACCCACCGGGCATATATACCCTCTAAAATGGAGGGCGGCTACGCACCGGGCTTTTACACCATTCAAAATGGAGGGTGGCTGCGCAACGGGCTTATACACCCTCTAAAAAATTTTCAGATGGTTGTACGTGTCAAGCATAGCCGGATTGCCGGGATTAGAGGGAAGCAAGTGCAAACATGCAGAATCCCGTGCGAAAAGTCGGCGCCATGCGTGATAGGCATCAAACGATCACGAAATTCATCAACTCACACTGCACCAGTCCTATTATGATCACAAATTTTCTGCCGCCGGGCCCGCATTTCCAGCGGATGATGGTTAGGGTGCTGGTCTCGCCTGTGGTATGTCCGGGTTCGGATTTCGACTAAAGCCGCTGTTAAGTGGGTGGTTTCGTGGTCTTGCGGCGCGGCGTGATGATGCCAACTCGCTTCGCTTCTAAGCGGAATGCATTCTGATTCGGGCTTTTATATTGGACGGCAGCGTAGTTTCTTATGCCAGGGTAGAACTAAAGCTAAAGAAGACTCCCTCTGCAAGAAGCAGTTAGCGGATCCAAAAAATGTTATGGATTTGGGCTACGCGGCACGTCACTCCTGCTGGCCTCCTACAGCGTACACAGCTCAGTGCCCTGTCCTCCAGGTTACGCGCCCCCTCGCCGTCTTCCCGTTCGCCGTTGAAGCGTCGGCTCATCAGAACGTTACGGTCTGACGATCTTTTTTGAATACAGAACCGGTTACCATGCATCATCATCACGACCCCAGGTGCATGCTTTTATCGAGCTCACTTGCGAGTGTCACCGTCTAGCCTCCGGACACGCATGGGTTGGATACGCGTCCACGTACGGCTCCTTCAGGCTCTTGTTTCAGCTGTTTCACGCATGACTGCATGCACTTGTCACACCAACCACGTGGCCATGGGTTCCTCCACAGGCGTCGGAAGGGGCGACCCCGCAACATTTTTACAGGACGGGCGTGGCAACTTCATGGAGACTGCGGCGTGGTTTTTGCACCAGGATAAATGGTTGCTTCAGGTGATTGGTAAGCGATGGCATGCGTATACTGAAACGTTGTAGTCGTTGTTAAAAGTAAAAATTAAGGAAGGATCGACTCAGGAGCAGTGTGCCACGTGCTCGCCTTCGGACGAATCAAATGGATCCAGCTCATGCCGCTGCCGCTTTTGCCAGTCTAAACGCGTCAAATCAAAGAACGCTTGACTAAGCTCAGAAAAGCACCATACACGGTGGTGGTGCAGAGTGCAGACCTAGGAGTGAGTGAACTCTGTGATTCTCAAGCAGTTCATGGTTAGAATGATATATATATATATATATATATATATATATATATATATATATATGCTGTTGCAGAGGGCCACTGGTAGGGCGGGCGCCGTTCGGCCAGTGCAAGGCAGGCTCGAGGCGAGGGGCGCGGAGCTCACTCACAGCTCCGGCTGGTCGCAAGGTGGCTGGCCGGACGGCGACCGTGCCGCGCCTCCGTGGTGCCGACGCTTTGTAGGCGGGCTGCTCGCGCCGTTCATTTCCCGCCGTATGTCGCTGCTGGGCTGAGCTGAAGATACTAATGGAAAATGGCTGAGAAGTGGGTGATTTGCTGCAAGCGCTTCGTGTTAAGGTCATTAACTGGGCAATGAAGCGAGCTTGGAGGTTCTGCTTATGTCCATTTAATTCCTAATGGCTATGTACATGCACTGCCTGTGGGAGTCTAGCAATAGCTTAGAATAACACTGGTCACAGCTTGCCGCTGAATCTTCAGACTCATCATGGCCCTGGGAGACAGAATGAGACAGGTACTGACGCGTGGCAACGTCCGCAACAGAGAAATGCTGGACGAGAAACGCTCGCTGCTCGTCTCCTCTGTCGTGTGCTCACGAAGGGGTGCTTAAAAGCGCGGCGTCAAGCAGGCACCACTTCTTGGCGACACGCGACCACGCCACGTCCAATGAAAAGATGCCTGCTGAGGTTCAACACATGACGTCTATTTAAAAACATGTCCACACAACATGACATACTGAACAATGGCGATGACCGGCCAACAAGGGAACGTGGCACTGCCGCTGCGCGCTCGGGTCAGCCGGGCCCCTCCCCACGCAGGGGGAGGGGCAGGGGTCGCGACGCATCACCACTGACGTCGTCGCGACCGCTGCCGGCTGATGAAAAGACTAGTGGGTATCCTCCTGGAAACGGACACGGCGCCGTGTTAGCGGGGTTGGAGACGACGCTGCGTTCCGAGTGGGCGGGGCTCCGAGTGTTCGGTGTCTGTGTTTTTAGCATACGTGGGTGGAGCTAATTCGATATAGCAACAGACACACATGCTAAAACGTTTCAAATACGCTAGAATGCCTGGTAGATACGCTCACACAGGTAACTATGCATTAGTATGCGGAATCCAGATTACGTGAGCAATGCCTACAATCCTGCTCTGTAATCTAGTATTTTTTTCATTCGTAGTTATGCCCTTCAAACAATTGTTCATGCAAAGCAACGAATAAGAAAGTTGCACGAAAGACGTAACGATTCGTATCAACTCATCATATCACCGACGATGCATGACCACGAACATGATGCATGGAGTAGAAAAGCACAAAGTACAGCAGAGAATGTCTAACGCCTCCACAAACTGCTGCCATGAAACGGTTTTCACTTTTGTTGCAGCCGAATTTTTCATTTCAATTCTCTTGCAATGTTGTTGACACATTTGAACCGTTTTCACATCATTTCTTAACGTGGGAAAGGAAACTATGTGAGTAAAGAGGAAATAAGTGAATGCATCGTGATGTGCACCAGAATTTCTTTTCTTTTTATAACGGTTTCCGCCTCTGACTGCCAGCGCTAACCTGATCCGCTCCTCCGACGCTGATCCTGTCCTGAGTGGTGTCGCTATTTAGTGGCCGTAGCCCTTGTCGTCCTCGGGCTGCGTGACGTAGTAGCCCCACGGCGCGAAGTACTCGTAGCCCACCTTCTCCTTGTTAGGGCCGCGGTAGGCCTGCACGCGGACACATCGTCAGCCGCCAGCGAACACGCGTACAGAAGCATGCAAGAAGTGGGGACGCGACAGCCACTGATCTACTGAAAATATTTCGCCCCAAACGGTGTCGTTTTCATGGAGTCAAATCTGAGGGGCTTGGATGCTTAAATGGCAAAGCTATGACTAACGCTCTCCGCGGCATTCACCGTACTAATTTACCTGACAGTGATGCCAGGTAGCATTGGCAGCGCGGAATAAGACGAAACATATCGGAGAATACACCGGGTGAATTTTTTAATGTTACAACTTAGCCTCAGCCCCTTAGCTGTAACGACGTCACAACTAACCTGGATTTTGACTCTTCCATTTGAGTAGGACGGAGCCGGCTTGTATCCGCCCTGGGGGAAAGCCTGGACCAGGGCCAGCAGGCAGGCCGCGGCCAGAAAAACCAGCATCAACTGCAGACAGAAACATCGGTCAGAGACAATCGCGCTCCAGACAGTAACATCGGCCAGCGACCAGTCCACCTCACCGGCAGTGGAGAACAGCACATGTAACGTGGCCCGGAACCTGCTGTGAGCGTGGCTCGTCAGGAGACGCCTCCGCCAGTTCTGACCGACGGGGTGCTGACGTTCCGCACCACAGAGCCCCAGCAACCGCGGCCTACATCAGCCGACCCAGATCCGCCAACGGTATGAGCCCTCACTCCAGCGCCATGCCATATATATATATATATATATATATATATATATATATATATATATATATACGTGTGTGTGTGTGTGTGTGTGTGTGTGTGTGTGTGTGTGTGTGTGTGTGTGTGTGTGTGTGTGTGTGTGTGTGCGTGTGTGTGTGTGTGTGTGTGTGTGTGTGTGTCCGTGTGTGTGCCGCACCAGCGCACAGACTGAACACCAGCTGCGAGACACTGCTCCAGAACGCCTGCCGGGTCCGCGGCTCTTCACCCCTCCCGTACACAACACCGGCACGAGGCACGGAGCGCGCGACACACGCCCCGGCGGCGCACCGACAACCGACTCACAGCTCCGGCTGGTCGCATGGTGGCTGAGCGGACGGTAACTGTGCCGCCTCTCCGGAGCGTCGACGTTTTATAGGCGGGCTGCTCTCGCTTTCTTTCGCGACGCGCGCCGCACGTCTCGGCTGGGCTGAGCGGAGGATGCGAACGGAAACTGGCTGAGGCGTGGATGATTTGTTGCGAGTGCTTCGTGTTTGGGTCGATGATCGGGCGATCAATGGGGCGTTTGCCCAGGTACCTCTGTGGCAGAAGCGGTCGATTCGGTCGGCCAAAATAGCAACCTATAGCAGATGCACTTTTATTCAGAGCACGTGTTAGAAGTATGTTGGTCACGGTTGACGACAAAAAAAAAATGCAGAATTTTTGTTTTGATGTACAAAGTCTGAAAGATTTTTTGAGACCACGGCTGCTGACATAAAATGTGCGGCAGTAGACAACATGACATTTACCGGCTCGGTGAAAGCATGTAGTAGATAAATTACCGTGAAACATGACGCAAAGTTTCGTAACGCCACAGAATCCTTGCGTTGGCGCTATTTTACCTCCGCGTATCTGGTACCGCCGTTAATGCGCCACCAAATGCTACGTGGTCGGCAACCAAAGGCTGCCTCCTGAGGAGGAAAATTGGCTCCCACGCTCTTGCAAGGTCTCGACGTCGAATCAGACATTCAAATGGCAATATGACAATCTATTGTCCTAGCTCATATTACTGGTAAGCCGGTAAGTTGGCATCTACCACATCACCGACCACGTCAAAGGTCGCGCAAAGTATCTCAAATTTTAACCAAGCTTACTAGCAGCTTCAGGGCCTTTGAGCACCCGTGTAATGGGCGCACAGCTCTGTAGCACATGCTTCAAACAAAGACGCGTCTTCTTGCCCGATGGTATCACCTCATTGCACCGTCTGCGACCACGCTATTGACATTTGACACTCCCATAACATTACCGTCCGCTAGCAGACAGTGACGTTCAAGGTCGGTTTAGACCAAGGTGAAGTCATGTTAAGCTCAGGGCAACTGCTTGCGTGTATACGAATTTCTAGCGTTTCTGTGTACAAGATTACGACACATGTTGGTAGTTGGTTTGGAGTCATATTAGTTCTATTGAATTTTGCTTCATACATGGGCTGCCAAGTCCTTTTGGCCTAACAGTTTTTATTAGGGTTTTTCGGTGGTTGTAGACCGGTGGTTTCGGGTTCAGGAACACTGGCGAAGTAAAGCACGCTGCGCGAGGGCTGAACTCACCACCCGGGTCGTGCCGTTCCGGCTCATAGGATAACTCTGCATCCAGCACTTTCGCCAGACAGGACCGCAAAGGGTGTGACATGCCTCAGAGCGACACGACATGTCCACCCGGACCACGTGCGCCCTGCTTGGCCAGGTGCCAGCTGATATTTCCACGCTAATCGGGCGAAACCTAGTGTTACTAAACTACGAGTGCGGAACTTAACCGCTAGACCATGGAAAGGGCTCATGGGTCGATTTAAAATAACCTCTGTTGGTGGCCTGGTATGACCTCGCAAGGCCGACCCTATTTGACCCGCCACCAAACCAGGCAGTAATTTACATAATTTGCATTATGAGGCACTAGCAGTCAAACTATGACCGGAAACTACACATTGCTCCCCGGGAAAGTAAAGTAACATTCACGCAGGCCTTCGCCGACTATAAATCCACCGCTTAATTTCCTACGCCACTGCTGCGCGCTTTTCTGTGTCATTTTGTACATAGCTGCTGTAAGTACCCACTAAACGACAAAGGAGTCCTCCGGAGAAGATTCTGGAGATTCTGGAGAAGAGGTTCATTGCATCCGAGAGGGTTACCAAAAACCCGTAAACCAGAACGGTGACGGTCCCAAGACGGCCGAACATCAGCTGTTTAGATTCCTGAAATGCCAGAAGGGGCACCGACATAGAAAAGATCCCCAGCCTCGGACGATCCGGAAAAAAATGAGGCCGTCAAAACTTAAATGTGCTGTGTGGGCCACGAAGGATTCTTGAAATATAACTGTTGCCACGATATGGAGGCTAGAAAACGTTTCGAGATGAATCATGGCGTCTCACTGCATTTATGAAACGGATTTTGCAGTGAATCCCATACTCCTGTGAAGGACCCGACAACATCAGCGGTACCAAGGCGCCCCAGTGCCTTAAACTTCAGGTAAGCTGTACCCTAAAATGGCAGGTAAGCCAGAGCCTTCAACGTCAGGTAAGCCATGGCCCAAAACGGCAGGTAAGCCAGAACCTAAAACCCCAGGTAAGGCATTACTTAAACGAGCCTATATTTGTGCCAGTCATAATTTGTGAGGGCTTTTTCTGATTTGCTCTCTAAGATACCTCATTTTTGGCACGTTCCATTAGGCACTTCACCTGTTAGTAGGGGTATGCCAATATTTATAACGGGACATACTTGGGTACGTTGACATGTGTGTCGTTTGTCGTCACTGTCACGGCCAACTACGCCTGACAGCTTTTCAGCAGCCGGAAGCTGACAGCTTTGACGGTCTTCCGGCAATTGAGAGCTACAAGAATGCACCGGATTTTAGTTTTGCTAGGTTATATATCAGACGCAAGAAGAAATGGTTCGTTATCAGAGACATATGGAACTGACAACGTTGTGCAATAAGAACGATCAACAGCGTGGATCACACCCAGCCTCTCGACTCGGAGAGGCAGGTCACGCCTAACGTCCCGACTCAGAGAGGCAGCTCGCCCCAACGTTCCGGCTCAGGGGAGAAGCCTCGGCTTGAAGGAACAGCTCACGCCTAACGTCTCGGCTCGGGCAGAAGTCTTGGCTCGTGGAGACGCCTCGCATCTTGCGTCTCAGCTCGAGGAGCGTCTCGCCCTGACGTCTCGACGTGTCTCAGCGTGGCAAGAAGACCTAGCGCCCACCGGCTGCCGTGGGACCATGCCAAGGCTGTGAGCGTCCCCTTAGCCGCTGGGGCTACCCTGGCCATTTATCGTCGCATTGGAGAGAAGGATAGCGCCGATGTCCTGCTTCCCGTATAAAATGGGGCACCAATTGCTTTAGGGGACGCTACAGTTTTGGGATCTCTTGGAACTTGCCAGCTCGAAATCATCTATCTCCGCCACCTTCCACTTCCTTCCACTACCATGCTGTCACAATGGGGCTCCATCCCAACTGGAAGCCTCCTGCCTTACAGTAAAGCTAAGGCCTTGTGCAATGTAAGCGCGTTAAGAGGCGACAGACAGCACCGCGCTGGCAGCCGCAATGTCCCCAGCGCAGCCCTCCGGCTGTTCCCAGCAGCGCCGCTCTGTGGAGCTTGAAGGCGGCGGCGCGGTGCGAGGGCTGCTCCTCTGCCGGCGGCCGACTTTCCAGTCGTAAATCTGCGGCGACAGCGGCGGTCGCGAGCTGGCAGCGTGCGTCGGCTAAGGACCCACACCGCTGGCGCCGCCGTCGGCCGGCGTGCTTTTTTGTGAGCGTCACTCAGCTGGAACGGGCCGGCCGTGGGCGACGAAGCTCCGAAGCCGGCGCGGCCAGCAGCAGGCAGCACTTTCTACCCGGCCGAGCCTTTTCCTGTGCAGGTTGGCTCCTCGGCGGTTCATTGCGGGGCGTTGTTCAGGGCTGGGGGGAAGGTAGCTGAGGGAATGACGCAGTGCGGGGGAGCAGTCGGATCTGATCGTCTCGTCGAATATGGAACAATGTCCTTTCAGTGCACCGAATGTATGCTGTATACAATGAGCGCGAATACGAGAGGGAGAGAGGGGGAGAGGGAGAGAGATGTGTTCCGTTCGGAGCACGGGCGGGACTGCGCAGTGAGGGAGCCGTCCTAGAAAGTGAAACGCCCGGCGCCACCCGGCCGCTCCAGCTGACACGATTTCCAGGGTGATTGCTACCGACAATGGCCGTTCGCGGAGAAAGGGGCCGTTTCTCTCCTCATCCCCAGAGCGGCTGATGGGGGCGTCGAAAACAGTCATCATGTAACCAACAGAGCATCCGACTAGGACTCGGACATCAGCTTAGGCCATGCGGAGACGAAAATGTTCTCCACGATTCATGTTGCGGAAGAGTTGCTGTTCTCTTCAGGCTGCGCATGACTGGACCACGCACGACTGAAGTGTGTAGATATGACGCCACGGAGCGTTCACGCAGCCTGCGGTACGGCGCTCTTCACCTGAATGGTAGCCAAGGAGCGGTGTACAGCGGATTTTGAACTGCTGTGACCAACATCATTCGCCTGTGTTTATGTTTGTATGTGGAGTGCCGCAAGTTCAAATGATGAAATAATTTTACCACAGCATTCTGCTAGGGTTTTTCCTTAAAGCCATGACGTGCATATGACCTTAGTTGCATTCGATGCCGTTTTCGTTTGTGTCCAACGCATCCCGTACCACACGCTATCTCTTCCGAACCTTAGCATGTTACAAAGTTCCAAGGTATTAATTCAGGGCTGGCTGTTTGCGGTTTTATGTGTAGCCCCATTCTGCGCTGACGAAATTCAATACGTTATCACCCTTCCCTTGAAGTGCATATCCCCTGTTTCCTAAATACCTACGACCCATATCGGGGCATTATAAAGTATTTTTTGGCCATCATTTCGAGTTGAGATGCAATTTTCTACAACAAAAATGTCAAGTCATTTCTCATTGCAGCTTAGAAAGGACACTTACTGACCAGGAAGTCTGTCTTCGGTTAGGTCCAGAAGCATTTTTGCTGCGCTATTGGCACAACAAAGCAGTCAAACTGTGTAGTATTTATCAAGCCATCATCGCGAAAAAACGAACACAATGTTGATGATACTTATGTGCTGTCGTTCCTGCCTAGGTGTATGTACGTAGTTTGTTGGTGTTGGGAACGCATGCATCGGAGGTGTAGCCGTAACTCACAACGCATGGTTTGAGGAGCAGAAACGAGCATAAATGTTTTGAAAGTCACAATCAGTTGAGCGCAGTCACTAGAAATGTTGCTGGCTCAAAAAATTACGATATGCAGTGCTTCTATATGGCGAAATTTGCCCCTTTGACAGGATGACAGAATTCTTAAGTATGATGCACTTACTCACCCGTTCCGCGAAGAACTGCAGAATTAGAAGATGGTAAAAGCCGGGCCCATACCAGCGTCTGCCGGTGCATCTAACCGCTGCCTCCCGGCCGAGCGGGTGCCGATCTTGAGCGCTTTAGAGGCATACGAGCTTGGAATACGGATATTCCCCGACACCATAGAGTTCCTCGAGACCGAGCCTGGAGTCTCATATAAGAGGAAATTCGGCATCCAAAACTTGCGCAGAAGTAGCGTCAAAGTCATCTTTCCAAACGTCACGCACACGGTAAGTATCGCTCCAAGATATTTGACGTCTTGAAAACCTGGGTATGACGACCGTCTCGTTGCTGGCTTAATGCCATCAAATGTGCCACTGACATGCGAAACGTAAATCAGTCATGAAGGTGTTCATCTGATTTGGGGGAACGGTGTCACGCTTTTGCCTGATTAAGTTATTGGGTTCTGCGTGGAAGAGGCGAACCCAATAACTTAATAAGGGATAATGACTAGGAAATAAAAACATCATTGCTATGTGAGATTAATCAAGGTGATTGGGTAAAATAGCACTTTGGTATGAATACACTGTATCGAATGCATGTCGGAATTTCTCGCACTTGCAATAGCACTGCATATACATGCCTGCGATCATCATCAGATTAGGCGTCATGTGTCGTAGGTTTTTAAGAGCGATAATTAATTAAATGTTTGGCTGATTCAGTTTCCTTCGAAACGTACCAGTATTATAGCCTGACGTCTGTTTAAGCGCGCCCTCAAATCAGGATATTTCAAAATAGATATTTGCTTTAGTCAAGACCGAAGACCAAAAAATATTGTATTCATGTGCCGTGACGCAAGCGTTCGGCTTCATTTAGATAGGGGCTACCGTTTCGTCAGTCCTAAGCTACGCCAACTGTCTGAGCCCGTGCTGTCTTGAGGTCGGTCGGCCGGATTATCCCGCAGGCACTCGGCCAATGGGAGGGAGGTTTTGTGACGTCAGACGATGGATCCGTCGTATCTATTGAGAATATGTCGAAAGATTGTGTTATAATCTCGGAGAAAAACTCGATTTCCCGCCTGACTTTGACTGTGCCCTTTTTTAAAAGTCGTGTTGAGCTTTTTGTGGCTAACCTTGCTGTGCGCTCCGTTGTGGCTAAAATGCAATAAAATCACACCAAAATTCCAATGACCATTACCAAAAAACACGAGGACAAGTTTGTCAAGAACAAGTTTTGTTTTGGCGCCGACAGCAGACATGCATAATGCGTATACGACTATCTCAGCAAATGAGCTGTTATGCGGAGGGATCGCATTTGAAGATCCTTAGACTCCTCACTCACCCACCTTATCTTCCTTAGAATCCCTCACTCACTCAGCTTAGACTCATTAGACTCACCTCACCCACCTTAGACTCCAATGTTCCTTGTTCGTAATGCTACTGCGAACTGGGGCGCCGTATGCCACGTTGCTGGACGTCCACGCTTTCGTTACAAGTTGTTGGAAGTCACCACGAGCTTGCCATTTTGTTTACTCTGCTATCCAATCAATGAGCTGGTCAATCGCGGAACTTTTCTCCTGATGCGATGACTATTATGGTCATGTTAATAGAAGGTGTCGTAACTTAGACACCCAAGTAATAATCACGTTGAATTATAATTAAACAACGATAGAAATCATCGTCAGGGCTGGTGTAGGAAAGCCCATATTTTCCCTACGAATGCCTGCAAGGCGTAATGATATCCAATCTGATATCAGCTACGAATCTGACAGGCAAAACGGACGGCAAAACACTATCCGGTGGGGCGGCGAACGCTCCGACTCCGTTTAGCTTCCTTGCAGGCATGTCTGGTACAAACACACCCGAAACAGATCACTGTGGTGACCACGGACGGCCAAGTTTATCACCGTTGTAACAGTTCTTACGAGTCACGGTGTCGGGATTTTCAGACAAAAGATCACTACCTAAGCTACCCGCACTACCATCTGCTGCTGGGCGGGAAAGGCGAGACCATCTCGGACGTCGGCCCCGGCCTGCAGAAGGTGGCCACGCTCGTCTTCAAGTGCACCGACTCAGAGCAGAAGCACGACGTGGCCAAAATTCTCATCGGCGAAGAGTTCAGCATACACATACCGATCGTATGGTGAGGACCGGTGACGGCCACGTGCACTGTGATATGCCAAGCTGAGCCGAAACAGATCAGCATCGGGTGATTGGGGGGGGGGGGGGGGGCGGAACTTAGGACTCCGATCATCTCTGCCCTCCTGAATCTGACCTCGGGTCCAGCGGTATCCAGGGCTAGCTGGTTACTGATCGTTTCCGGATATTGAGCTCCCTTATTATGAAGCACGACATCCATGTGACCGAAATATGGGGCGCCTCGATTAATCTTTTTAAGAGTGCTTGCACGTACCAAAAGGGCGTTCATGCGCGTCATAGTTTGCTTTGTTTTTTGAAAAGAACAAAAGTTACTCCTAAAAAAGGAGTTTTTGAACCCCAACAAAGCCCGGACGCTCTTCACTGTCCCACCATTAGATGTGACGCAATGAGCTTCCGCGTCACAATGATAAAAGCAGCGCTTTTGATCTCTTAATGTGCGTGCCTTGATTGTTATGACCAAATTTTCCCCGTTTTTATAACTAAAAAGTCATAGCAAAAAAAGAAGTCTTAGCAAAAGGAATGCTTCTACATAAATCAGCAAACAACCATATCCGAGGTCTAGGACCATGAGAGGATTAAATATACCTTGTGGACACACTATATTCTGGGAAACTGAACACCAACGACCTTTCGTCAGCACCGGGCACAAGTTTTCTGGCTCAACTTCTAAAGCGCCCTGGCCCCTTATTGTGACACCTGGCGGAGGCCACGCAGGAATCACCAGGCATATTTTAGTACATGCATCGCATCGCACGAGATCATCGTGTGAGATCATCGCGAGCACTTGTGATTGTGAGTCTCCCTGACTAGCTTTTTCATCTTGCCCACTGTTTCTTGGCTTTCCTCAGCTAGCATCTTCACAATTACCGGCGAATGGCGAACTATTGTCGCCCGTGAATAACACTATGCAGTTACATACATTTTATACTAACTGCAGAGCTTTACAATTTATTGGAAGCTTAGCGCTAAAAACCCTCAACCTTGTCGGATCTAGCTGATCTGGTGCTTTAATATACCAAAGGTGGCACGGAGGCAATAGAGTGAGGCCCTTCCGAGCCTATAATGGCGTTGACAGTTGGCTGTACTCTCCTTTGGCTTGTTCCTAGGGGTGTGCATTTCAGACCACAGCGATATTGCGACGCTGGCTGGACAAAGAAGTGCGCAGGTTGCAGTGTTTCTGTTATAAATTTGCTAGGGATAAAAGCTACACCCGGATTCCATGTACTTGTCTGGCACAAAAAGAAGACGTAACGTTAGGGAACGCTTGTGGTAGGCACAATCAGTTCAAGCCCTCTTTGCACACCGGGTTCTTGTAATTTTACCGTCCTTTTGAACGTCCAGCCCCTTTAAACCATCCGTGGCCACTCTCTGAACGTCGTGCCGGAAAGCCCGTCACTGTGACAAGTCTCCAGACGTCCGTGGTGTCGGCCGTGCTTCCAGCTCGCCGGTGCGTCCCGTACTGAGCGCGCCGAGCGTGGTCAACTTCGGCGAGCTGCCGTCAGATGGCACGCCGATCACGAGGCGTCTGACCGTGGAGAACCGCGGCCGGCGGCCCGGCCATTGGGAGATCGAGTACGCGGGCGGCACGCGCGTGACCTTTGACCCGTGCCGCGGACTGATCCGGCCCGCACAAAAAGAAACCATCCAGGTGGAGCTGATCCCGGAGTCGGAAGGGTGCATCAGCGAGACAGCCAGGTCAGCGAAAGTGGCGCACTCGGGTGCCTTGCAACTGAGCTCCTCCGACGTGCGCCGGTTTCATGGAGCTAAATTACGGATTTGATGCCTCTGACATCTTTTCATGATGAGGAACTGTGTAATTTTGAAGAAAATTAAGATATTTTCGATGCATATGAGTTGGTGTACGATTTAAGTCCAAAAGTATATCAGTCGCCGCTTTGTTTTAGCAAGCCGAGTAGGCAATGCAGGGTCAAGGAAGCTATAGATAAGCATGGCATAAGCACGCTTAGATCATATTAGCCCTGTAATTCGTGCGCTTGAAGCGGCATATGCTATCGTTCTGTATGTGTAGGTTACTGCGGTATAGACGGGTGTGCTGAGCGGGACGCCTAAAACAACGGAACTGATATATAGATACCACCGTTAATGTCTACGTTTTAGCGCTCATGGCATCGTCGATCACTGAAATGACGGGCAAACAATTAAAGTACCTCGACTGACTGTTTGTTGTTTGCTCAAGATGTGTTTGTATTGGTCACGTGACCTCAGCACACGCGGCGTCTCTGCCACGCGCCGCCGTCAGACGTGCGCAGCTGGATTTCCATCCGGCGCAATGGCAAAGACTGAAATCAGCTGTCGTGCCTCGTTGCAGATTCGTCGGCCAGGAGATGGCGCCACTGGAGGTGCGCATTGTCGGTCACGTGACCAAGAGTGCACTGCAGGTGCTGGAGCCCTCGGGGCAGACGCCACTCCGCCTGGTGGACTTTGGTGCCGTGTACTACGGCACCAAGCACCAGCGCCAGGTGGTGCTGCACAACGCGGGCGTACGGCCTATCTGCTACAGCGTCAGCTGGTCCCCGAACCAGCCCGGACAGGAGCTGGTAAGGAAGGGAGATACGGGACCGGGCGTGAGCTGGTGAGGGAGGAGGGAGGGGGTACTGCCCTGGACGAGAGCTGGTGAGGGAGGGATTACAGTACCGGACAGTAGCTGGTAAGGAAGGGAGATGCGACACCAGACAGGAGCTGGTGAGTGAGGGCTGCTGTACTAAGCAGAAGCTGGTAAGGGAGAAGGATACGGGATCGGGCAAGAGCTGATGAGGGAGAGAGTACAGCACCGGACAGGAGCTGGTGAGGGTGGAGATACAGTACAGGACAGGAGCTGGTGAGGTAGGGAGCCCAGCACCGGATAGGAGCTGGCGAGGAAAGGGGTACAATAGTTGACAGGAGTTGGTGAGGGAGGGAGTGCAGCACCGGACAGGAGCTGGCGAGGGAGGGGTACGGTGCTGGACAGGGGAGGTCAGATGGAATAGGACCGCAAGCCATATAAAAAGTTATACTCATGCCAACCCTGAAGTTGGGACCACAAGGAAAAAACAATGTGGATACATTTGTAAAAATATGATGTCTGCGCCCATAAGTGAATCTGTTATGATACGAGCATAAATGCCGCACCAATGCTGCATTTCCTTGCGGGAAACATTGCACAGTCTAGATTTTAAAAACGCAAATACAATCGTATGGTTACTACCATCACATATTAGTACGTGGTCACCACAGGAAAGCCACTGAGGCTGTTAACGTGCATGTGCAACGATTATATACTACGAATGCCGACCGCGTGAGAGCACGGTGCAGAATGAGAGCTGCATAACACATAACACATAACACATAACCAACATAACACACTGTTTCTGGCTCAGGCGGTCGATCTCACTCAGTGCCATCTGGCGGCGTTCTCTGAGGAAAAAGCCGAAGACGTCAGCGTGAGTGGACGCTGCGACGATCCGGAGCACTGTTTCCGTGTCGACCCCGCCTTCGGCAAGATCATGGCGAAGGGACAGCAGCTGCTCACAGTCGAGTAAGGTAGCCGCAGGTGATGTTCCGTGGACTTCACCCTGCCTCAAAGCAGCGGCATGGTGATGGGTCTGAGGCGGCTAGGATATTCTGGCAGCCTGTTCATAGAGCCCGGCTGTTTTTTCCGACGGGACAGCTGATTTGCCGCCTTTTTTATGAATGAGGGACCATAATAATGATCCGCCGTCTAATATATGTATATATGATATGCAGACCACCAAAGAACACCAGTTCAGATTTGATCCGTTTTTTTGGCATGATGCATGTTTAATATTCATAAAAATATATAAGTATATATATATATATATGCATATACATACTTATATATAATCCTGTTCTGGATTATAAGACCCCCTTATGCAGACCCTGTTTTGGGTTAGTGAGAGCTTTTCCTGAATAATTAGAAGGCTCCCATTTTAGTTGTATCACTCGACATTCATTTACTCGGATAAAAGACATGTAGCAACTTGATAAAGGGGCCCATGCCCTCAGTGTCCCTTTTGCTTGATTACGACGCTGCGCAGGAGGCCGCCTGTGAAGACGCCTCATTTTGTCCAGGAGGAAGCTGGAAAATCTTGCCCCCATCCCCTCGCCAGTAAGAACCCGTGGCACCGTCCCCTCATTGATAACAAAGCATTCTGCACCAGCCAATCTTGAACTATAGACTGACAGTGCCAGCATAGTGCTCAAAATGATCCATAAGTCAAGTGCTATGGCATATTCTGACTACGGTTGTAGTGATCGCGATCCATAGCCTCGTCTCGCTGCCTGACCTTGACCAGGAGCTCCTCCGCGCAGCTTCACACCACGAGCGTACCCGCCGGAGAAGGGGTTCCGCAGCGTGTACCAGTCGCCGCCGCGCCGCGACTACTGCCTGTTCCTCACCATAGAGCCCTCCATCGCCGACCTGGACCAGAACCTAGGTGAGCCCCGCAGGCCAGGCTGACAGGCAGACTATGACTCCCAGCAGCAGAGCTGGCGTCGGTGACCCCACGCGGAGTCCCAGGACTCTTGGTTCAACGACCTTCAGCGAGAGCTGCACCGGATAACGGGGCTAACGGACAGCAGCATTTCAACGTCTTGCTAAAATGTCGTGCGAATCATACCACGCTGCATTCAGACCTTGACATTTGACGGGTCTGCAGGTGAGACCGTGGATTTCCGATAGGTCGCAGCGTGGTAGGCCCGCAAGAGGTTAATTTTATTTGCGTCATCGAAGGTCGCGCCGATTGAGTGCAAAACATGCTGGTTGCGCACTGTTTATGTCACACAATGCAGTGAAGGCATGACATAAATGCCTTAAAACACGTATTGTGTACTACACTCGGGCCGAAGCTTTATTCGACCTGGCCTCATGAGATTAGAGGTACATGTACATAATGCCGCATGCTTAAGGGGACTGCTCCACAGCTGTGTGAGATTTTGAACTAAGACAGCCATCGTCATAATGATTCACTGCAGTTCCCAGCCATGCCCTTTTTAATGCTTCAAATCCTCTTCTCTCTGAGCTTGATGTGCGTGAGCTTGTGCTGATGACGATGATGATCATTGGGGTTTTAGGACACGCCAACTTCTCAGGTCATTTTGCGCCTATAACAGTTAAGTGGCTATCGAGGTGTAAAAATGGCTGTAAATCCTATGTTTGTCCAATAATGGGGGCAGCTTTTTCGTGCCAAGCATGCGAGAATCGTCACCAGTAAGGTCCGAAAAGGTAGGACCTGCGGCATCTCATCCGGAATAAAGTGCCCTCTCTTCGCGAGCTGTGGGCAGAAGTGAATAACGTGGCGAAGCGTAAGTGGCGCATCACAACGAGGACGTTTGGGCCGTTCTCCTACCGCATACAAGGTAGCTATGTGTCGCGTGTATGTGGCCAGTTCGTAATCTGCTGAGTATTAAGTATTCGCGTCTAACCTTGCGTGGTTTTCATGTCTGGACGCAGTTATGGCTTGATCATCTTTAACTTGCTGTTTATTGTGACGTCCCAGCAGCGTTGCCATTTCCATTTCACATAGGTCACTGATGGCAGGGCAAAAGTTCCTTGCCGGTAGGGGTAAAGAGCGGGTGCAAGATGCACGCGGTGTCCGTTTGGCAGGCCGCGTCAGCACGCTCGTTACCTGCGGTACCCACATGGCTCGGTTTCCAACAAAGGACGACAGCTTTGCCTGCAAGGCGCTGTCAGGCGCACTAAAATATCCTGTGTTATGGGAAATGGTGAGTTGAAGGCTGTCAGGGCCAAAACAGACCGCTCAAAGAATCGGATTAGCTTACGTGTGATTTGTTCTCACCAACTTCGATGAAGCATCGTGTGACTTGTTCTCACCAACTTCGATGAAGCATAAGGCTTCGCTAATGATGACGAGCTCGCACGTGTACAGTGAGGCGTGTTTCGGTAAAGAAAATGACAGGGTGGCTTAACACGCGCTCGGGTGGCCGGCTAGATACCCTTCGCTCGGGTGGGGTCAACTTGACACCCCCTGAGATCTCGGGAACAAAGCTAGAGACACCAAAATTACAGGGTGTGTTGACCTGTACGTGAACTCACTTAGGTCAAAGTTTCAGGTTCTTAGGTTATGACCTTTGGGACAAAAAAGGTTAAACAATGTCAAGTACCATGTTGGTCTCCAAAATGCCCCAGAACGTAGACAACCTTTCTAAGCAAAAATTCACATTCTCATTTAAAACCAGTAACCTTGTTTGACCTTTTGAAGGTCAAGGTGACCAAAACCGTACAAGATCGCTTTGAGTTTTGTATTTGACTAAGCGACAAAGATAACGCTAGGCAGTATGTTCTTTAAACAAAATGTTGACCTAGGTCATTTTAGGTCAGTCACCTATTCTGACCTCTAAGAGGTCCACGGAAGATGTATAATGCGGTTCCTGCTATCAATAAACTCTAAATAAGCGCCAGAAACTATCCCATACAGCTAACCCTTGAGTAATAGAACAGGTTGGTTTTGACCTTGGTGTGACCTTCATACCTGACCTTAGGTCAATGTATTTTGCTCATTCAACTGTTGTGTTGCCTAAGAAAGCATCTCGGATATGTATGGCTTCGTCTAATACTCCGTTGTTCGATCAGACTGAGGGATTCCTTAGAAATTGCCTTCGCTGAAACCATCGCCTGACTTTGACATGCCGTAGGTCAGCGACTTCACAAGATACATCTAATTTGTTATCTCAGACGATCTGCTATTTAACTGTCCACAATACGCGAAATTTGGCGCGGCTACGCCGCGCCGTTGGGAAATTATTCTGAACAAACCTTCGGGAGGGGGTTGTCAATTTGACCCCCACCCGGGCGCGTGTCAATCATTTACAAATGCAACACCGACGCCCACCTTCATTTTGGACCCATCAGTACATGTGACTTGAAATCCTATGTGCGGCCCGATATGCTCCAGAGCCCTCTAGCTTCAGTCTCCTGGGATCGCTCCCTGTTTTCTGATGCATGAAAGGAAGACATCCACTTCTGGTGAAATGAGTTTCCATTCAGGTAGTAATGCTGGACGCGACCTTAACACACCGCGCGAACTAATATCGCTTTCTCGGAACAGCTCCTTCATCTGAACGCCAAGTGGAATAGCGTACAACCTTCGGCCACTTTGAAGCATGTTTTCAACATAACGTGAAACAATTTTTGGCGCGTCAGATGGCTTGGAAATTGGGTCAGCTTGCAAAACGATCACATACCAAGCATTTCCTTTTTCAGTGCCAACGTCGGTTCATTTACTTCCACTGCAAGGCTAGTAACTGGTGACGTTTTGAATGCTCCGGTCACTGCTTGTGCAGCCTATTTGCACCGCCTTCGGGAATTTCACCCAGACATGTATGACATCATAGAAACGTCACGCGAAACCCCACCTCATTTCCGCGTTCTGTGTTAACGGCCATTAAAAATGTGGTCACCTAACAATGCGTGTTTGCGGTGATGCATCACCAAATGCCGCAACAATAGAAGGCATTTGGCTGTTGCACTGCTAATTGCATGTCTCGATCACGAAATGCGTCTCACCATAAGGAACACAGGCATTTCGGGCATCTATTACGTATGACAGGCATGAGGCTGATAATCGAGTAATTGAGTAAAGAGAAGCGCCGTAACAGAAAGTGTAAAGGCAAGTAAGGAAGAAGTCACCACGGAAAAATATACAAGAACACCACGAGAAAAGGTCAAAATAAAAGTACAGAACGTTCGTAAGCTAAATTTGCATGCAGGGACCAGCAACGCCACATTACTACACGTAGAGATATCACAAATGAGCCACTCCGTCCACTATAGTGGCAACTTTGACAAGGTAATTTGGGAGGCGGCAATGTCATAAAAACGTTTTACGACATGATACAGCAATGACGTATTGGGGGCCGTATCGAATAATGTGTTGTTATTTAAAGCTTTTGTTGCTGTTATTTAAAGTTTTTCACTAAGGAATACCAATAGCTACAAGCGAGTTTTTCCATTGCATCCGTTGCTTATCTCATTATTTTCAAATGTGGAATAACCCCTTTAAGCACGATTAGCACATTTCATAGGCTTTGTGCGTCAATGCACGTACAACATCACATGCTCGTGCTAAGTAATACAGAGCATACAAGTGTATTCCAGCGCGGAACCGTCAAAACATTTTGGCACAGCTCGATCTGAGGTGGTAATGGGCCCACAAACGTACATAGATATACATTCACTACACGTTTGATGACTAATGCTGTCCTTGTGGAAGCTTGAAATTAAGCATCTGGGTAGAACGGAACTAGCGCTTGATTCTGCTACAGCGGCATTTATTCCAACGTCGATTCACAGCACGTAAAGTTTACCTCAACTACGACCCGAAGCGTGTAGCACCAATTTTATTTAAAGATCGAGTCTGACTCCAGAAAATAATGCCTTATTTAGTGTCCGTTTCGAATCTAACCCGTCTTGCAGTCCGAACAAATATATATATATATATATATATATATATATATATATATATATATGATTTACATGATTACCTACATGATTTACAACACGCCCTCATGTATCTTAAGCGTTTGATTTACGTACATTGAGAGCTGTAAAAGTTAAAATATATTTTGTTAGCCTTTTCCGCCGGCCATTTTCCTACCTTTGCCATGCGAGGAAGGATCTCACAGGCTCCTCGCTGTCTCGAAAACAACACATGGTAGAGCCGAGCGGAAGGGGGCATCAGATAGCTCGCGCAAACCTGATCGAGCTAGTATCCTTAAACTTCGGTGTCATTGGGCTTCGATAAATCGAAACAGGTCAACAGGGGCAAGCTGGTAAAACCGGTGATGCTCCTCCCTATATTCCGGTATATAGCCGGTAGCACAACAAACAAAAAACATACAAGCGTACATGATTCAGTGTGTGTGTGTGTGTGTGTGTGTGTGTGTGTGCGCGTGCGTGCGTTTGACCTGCGACATGTCAGAAAAGGCCATGTGGATTACACAATCCTCGTGAGCATAGACCGCACCTCGTTATCTCAAAAACAAAGCGCCGTGCGGAAACGAGACAAACACAGCCCATACTGGATAGCGCAGGTGTTCTTGGTAATTGACCCTCATTTTGTCTGGTGGGGCATTTGTGTCGGCTGGCGATGATAATGACGATCGATGAAGAAAGCAACGTTCTTGGCTAAAATCCCACTCATATTCACTTCTACTTTCAAATGATTTGAGTTAACGTTAACTCAACTAAAACACCGCATATCTGCTAAATAAAACAGATCCGGATGAGGAAGCCTCGCCATTGTACTGTCCGTACCGCAAAAATATCGTTAACATAAATCACTCAGGTTGAGCCACGCTGTTTGCAGAGTTCGGCAAGGTGTATCTCGGAGTGAAGGCCACTTCCCTCCCGGTGATGTTTGAGTTTGAGCCCCGTCGGGCTAATTTTCCGGAATCCCACCCAGGACAGCATATACAGATGCCATGCAAGCTGACCAACAAGTCGAAGGTCCTGCCACTGAGGTTCACGTGAGTGACTGTTGATTGAATCTGGAGGCTCTGAATCGCTATGCATGTGAACGGTAGCGCATTTGCAAAGCAGCGCAGTAGCACGACAAAGTGTTTTTAGGTCATTGCTGCCAAAACTGTTTATGCGAACTGACCTTTCAGGATCTAATACAATCCAATCTAGCCAGCAATCAGCCGTTTCCACACGTTTCAAATCTGATTTGGTTCAATCTGTCAAGCAACGAACGTTTTCAGACGTAATCCATGTTAGTTTATCACCTTTCTGCGTCTGCAGGTTCAGCATGGAATGTCATGTGACGCATATACGAGAACATTTCTTGCCTCTTACGTTCTCGTCGTGTCCTTTAATTTGGTTTTATCCAGATACGCAGGCCATTTTTTGTTCCCAAGGCAATCCTACTGCGCCACCCCCCCCCCCCCCTGAAATATTTCCAATTCCAACTTAATTGCAAGGATTAATCTCAAATGCGTTGATTCATCTAATTGGTGAAGAGCTCCACTCTCTTGTTTGTGTTTTCGGGTAGAAGAAGCAAATTCATCGTGGCGCTTTATTCTGTCGGCGTGGCTCTGAATTTAGCGGTAGCTGCGATGTCCACTGAAAACGCACTCGTGTGCAGTTAACCGTTTTGTGATGCGTTTAAGGAAATCTACAGCATGCCAGTGAGCTTGCCGTTAGCAGGAAAGGGGCTCGCTTTGAGTTCCGCTCCTGATCAACCCAGAGACTGAGTCAAGGCGATGATGAGCCCATCTACTTGCAGCAATGGCAAACCCTGCTTTGCAACGTGCAGGGGATTTGTGTACGCTTCTCTTTATCCATATACCATCCAAAACGTGATCTGCCCCATGGGTGACTGGCCTCTCTCCGCAGGTTCAGCGACATCGCTCATTTTCGGGTGAGCTCGAGAAAAGGAGTGCTGAAGCCGGAGGAGACCAGGAAACTGTACATTTTGTGCAAGCCAACCCAAATCGGTTAAGTTTGCTACTCAACTGGCGATGCGTGGTCAGTCGGGGAGCCTGAGCAGGGGGCTCAACTGAGTCTGATCTCAGCGGTACATTTACCCCTTCCACGAAGTATGTGAGGTGACTGGGCCGTAGTGAACGTTCGAAAGCAGGTAGAAAATGCATGCCAGCGGTTTTGTACGGTACCTAGAATGAAGACGGAAAAGTGCAGCAACGTTACGACCGAGACAAAGCTGCAGACCATTGTCCTTTTTGCAAGCCCGCCGCGGAGCCCAGCTCCAGCTCCGCGTCCCTCCTGACCGCGGTACGCGGCCCTGTCTGCCCGGGCGTCGGTCGGCCGCGCCGACCGGTTGCTGAGTGTTCGTCCCTTCCGCCCCACAGGGCCGCTCTCCCGCCACGTGCTGCTGGACGCGCTCGGCGTCGACACCGAGCCGGGCCGGGAGGGGGCGCCCGCGCAGGCCCAGGACCGGCTGCTCGTGTCCGCCAGGCTGCGCGTGGCCACGTACTGCGCTCCCATCACGCCCGAGAAGCAGCCGCTCTTCGTGCCCGGTACGCGAAGGTCGCACGGCGACAGCTGGGCTGGGACGACCACACGGCGCGGTCATGTGGATTGCAAGAGTGCTGGTATTCGAAGGTTTCCCATACGAGTAGCAAACCTGTCGTTCGCCGACCAAGGGGTGTAGGATGAAACCACGTGAGGGGGACCTGCACAGACACAGTCCCTCGGCTCGGCACAGCGATTCGTCACTGCGCCGACGGCTGAGGGCGGATGTGCTCCGTCCCACCAGGCATCACACCACTGTGGGGCCACAACGAGACGGGGCTGAACGCCGAGGCGCTGCGGCCGGGCCGGGGTGACGCGCCTGCCTGCAGCCTGGCGGCCACGCGGGCCGCCCGCCACCGCTGGGTGCGCTGGGCCTCCATCGGAGAGGAGCAGCGCTCGTTCCTGGCGCTGCCCAACGACAGGGCAGCCAGCATCCGACCGTACCATGGACCGGCTCCAATCAGGTCAGGGCAGAGGAGCAGCGCTCGTTCCTGGCGCTGCCCAACGACCGGGCGGCCAGCATCCGATAGCACCACGGCCCGGCTGCCATGAGGTGCGCGCGGGCGGTCTGCTCCCTGCGGACCTGGTCAGGGGGGACGAGCCGTGAGGCCGCTGCCCTCAGGTGAGCGTATCGGAGCTCTGGCGCAGTTACGTGGGTGTGGCACGCATTCAGGTGAGCTTAGCAAGGGAGAGGCAATGCCGGGTGAGTGTTATTACGTATATATATATATATATATATATATATATATATATATATATATATATATATGTGTGTGTGTGTGTGTATGTATATGTATATAGGTGACTGTTATTAGGTGAGTATATCAGAGGCCAGAGACACCGTTAGTAAGCGTGAGGAACGTTGGGACTACCTGGACGATTTGGGAATGTTATATAATGTAGATCACATGACACACAACGTGACTTAATTGTCCGTTTAATTCTACATTTTTTACTACACAGAAGATGAAATGCGATTGATTTGTTGGCTTGAGCAGGGAAAAGTTTAGCTACTGTTCTCACAAGTTTGCCGCAGCAATGTTTTTACAGGGACATTGGGTCATTGGGCCCTACCGCGCTCTCAGCTGCTGAGGCCAGGTGACATCGCCTGCCTCTCAATCTGGCAGGAATCGCCTGCACCGTGGGGAGTCGGATCGCGTTCTTTTGGGTTCTCAGACGCGCAACTTAAACACTGCACTACCGGTGCTCAAACAGCTTGTCTGGTATTATGTAGGTAATCGCAATGCGAAATAACACGCCGGGGAGATAGCACTTGGTGTTTGCCTAACTTTGCCGGCAAGGTCTGATAACTAAGTCCACTTGTCGAGTTTTATGAAGCCGCGTAAAAGCACCACGAACTGTTAAATTTACAGTTACTTATCGCACGCTTTTCCTCATCATATGACACCGAAATAGTGAAATGTGTTTAATTTTTAGCAACATGATATCCAACCCATTGCAAAACATCTTTACTACGCCGATGCCTGATTAGAACACGACTACATAAAGGGAGCAGCGAAACAGATCGTGTATTTTCAGCATTGTCCCCAACTAAATATGCGATGCATCGCAAATAGCTGCATGGCCATCTACCGTCATTGATGACTGCCAAACATCACGCTTGTGCTCAGAAGAAAATTGACCACTAGGCTACGCTATGACCACTTCGCTACAACACCACATTGCATGCAAAAACGGTAGTTGAGATAAATTTTGAGTTTCTGTGTGGCTGTTGTAGCAAAGAAGAGCCTGCTCGGAATTTCCACACTCCGTACTTACTTAGGGCAACGAGTTTCAATGTTTGGCACAAGGTGACCAGAACACCGAATGGTGCACTGGTCTTTCGAGCTGCTTTTCCAACTCACCGAACTGGTTGGCTTCATCCTCGCCTGTAGCTGAGGAATGTTTCTCCTTCCAGCAACCACCACCATCACGTGAACTTACCGAGGGCCTTCCCCGTCAGGCGACCGGGCCAGCATGTGTTCTCAGTATAGGGGCTCAGTGTTCCCTTAAACAGACAATGACGGAGGTGATGCGGCTGTGCCAGGCTCGGTGATGCGTCCGACTGTGCTTCCTTTCAGGACAATTTTCACCGGTCAGCCGCGGTACACATACCTGGACCCTCAGTACCAGTACAAGGCCGATGAGTGGCGTCACATCCTGCTGAACGAGGCCCGGTACCAGGAGTACATCGACGACTGCCGAATGGAGCGCTGGCTCCAGCTGCTGGAGCAGGAGCGGCAGCTGTACGACGGACAGGAGAACGACAAACTGCTCATCAAGACGGTACGTTGGCAGTAGTGAGACAGAAAGCTGTTCAGCATAACCCCCAATGCAGTTTAGGTCTTACGTATCCTATGTTGATGGATGGACTTATCTATGTGGATTCATGAGCGTTCGATTTGATGTCATCTTGTAATCGGGAAAGCAGACGGGACGGCACAGGGGTGATTCAGATTTCAGGCGTTTTCATTGAGATCGCGGAGGACGCTGTTTCGCTGTCGACCGGCATGCACTGTGTAGCAATGCACCTACAGTGCATCGTCATTAGTAATCGAAGCCGGTCGCTTGCGAGGAACGCGTGGAGTTGCATCTTTATTCTATGAATGCGTACTCTGGAATACGTCTGCACGTGGTCTACAAGGATGACGGTGCATGTGCTGCTTCTCTACAAATACTAAACAACGCAAAGTGCGGAGCCGCTGGACCATTTTCAGGCGACCCACTTCCTGGGCGAGGGGTTCAGATCGCTGATAAAGATGTGGAGCACCGTGTGCAGCAGGGAGCGTCGCCGCCTGCTGAGGCTGAAGGCCCACGTGGATGGCGCGCCTGGTGAGCCCCCAGTGCACGCGGTGACCTGGTCCTCAGCAGCACGTCTGCCTCGAGACGCGGCAGTCTTCTCCCAGAGCAGCTCGCACGCACCAGTGAGCGGTGACGTTTCACCGCTGTTTAGGCTGTTTAGGATCCCGGGCACCCGGGGCGCGTGCAACATCTATTGCGGTGAGGAGGGTGGCGTGTTGGGACGTCCGGGATACTGGGCGGCGGCGGTCGCGTTAATGGTGGTGAGATGAGCAGCACGTTGAGCATCGGCTAATGAAACTCGGTGTCAGGCCGCGAGCGTTGCGGTTGGATCTCACTGGCTGTGTTGAGACAATGGGCACGATGGTGTGTCCGACTATTAACTTTAATCGTTGCATACTTCCATAACTAGTGTGAGTGTCCCCATGCACGCCGTAAATGGCTAGACGAAAGGAAGCTTGGGCTTGCTTATCACCGCAGGGCAAAGCGTCGAGGCATGCAATTTCCTGTGCACATGCCACAAAGTCGCTAAGTGAGCCAAATGTTGTCACATTATGGCCGATAAACGACGAGCAGCTAACCAGTGTCCTCATGCGATAGTGCTGCCGTGGGCCCATCGCCATTTTACAGCTGGCGTGTCTTTGAATCAGCTCCGGGCCTAAACAAAATGGAGGAGGATGACTCCACGGGCCACTGCAGTCTCGAAATCCTGGAGAAATACGACGAGCGGCCGAAGAGCCAGGAAACGCGAGACGCCTGTCAACGGGAGCTCACCTGCGTGGAAATAGCTAAAGTCAAGATTTGCAACAAACTGCTCAACTTTGGTGAGGTGGGTCTCACCTTAGCACAAGCATCAGTGCAAATGAGACCGGCGCATGGGCATCGGCAGTGCTAGAATGTCAGAATGTAGATCTACACCAGATATGGAATGCACAGACCATCCAACGGGCAGGCCGCCAGCGGTCCCAAATAAGCGCGTTGTATCAAAGCACATGTCGAAACTTTCTTTAAGATTTAAAGCAAGAAATCAACAAAAAATTAAAATACCGTTGCAGTCGAGTAGTCTTTTCGTGCAGACTCAATTAAAGAAGAGGAGCTCGACGCATTTGTTCAATGCATATGTGGAATAAAGCAGTGATTAGCTTCACCATCCTATAATGAGCTGCAGCTATGCCCGTCCGAAAACCAGATGTCATAATGAATTATTATGGTTGTTGTTTTTCTCTCACGGCCACCCCCGCGCGCCTTTGATGTGCCCTACAGGTGCCGGCCGAGGTCGATGACCGCCGCCGCCGTGCCGCCTGAGGCGGTGGAACGCCGTGACCTCACTCCGAATCTGCACCGCGACGGCCGCCTCTCTCCGCAGGTGGCGCAGAACGTCTGGGCGTGCCGCACTCTGGACGTACGCAACCCGCTGGAGCGGCCCGTGCTGTTCCGGCTGCACGTGGACTGCAAGGAGCTGGAGCACACGACTCCCACGTCGGCCGTGGTGCTGCCCCGCTCGGTCGTCCGGCTGCCGGTCGTCTTCCAGTGCAGCACCAAACAGGAGTACAAACGGTGAGACTGACTGGCCCAGCTGGCGTGGCATGCCGCGCCGGTGTGAGCTGTCAGCCGGCGGAGGTTGTGGCGGCAGCGACAGTGAGGTCAGCGGCGGCGGTGGCAAACACCGCCGGGCGATGCCGCGTCTCCGCGCGGTCGCATCACTGACAACATTGCCGTCGAAGGCACCTTTCGTATGTGAGCGATTCGTGATTATTGTGATTGATTGGCTGGAATTGGACTGAAACGTGTTTCGGCAGGGTGATAAAGTACTCCATCAACGGTACCTGTCTGGACAACGTGCTCGTGGTGGCGACGGTCGTCAGAATGCGTCTGGACATCTCCACCACCAACCTGCACTTCAACTGCGCCAACCTCGTCTCCGTCTGTGCGTAGCATGGCGCATGGTCAGGGACGAATAATCAGGGAAATCCACCACAGCCAGCTCCTCGAATGATCCATCGACGCATTTGCTTCGAAAGGCGTGTTCAAAGTGCATGTGAAATTTGATCTTGATCGACACCAAACCAAAGCTGGCATTTAAAAGTGGTGAAACGAATTGCTATCTTAGGCGTGCATGGGTCCGGGCACAACCGCACCCATAGCCAACTCGAACTGGAGTCTGAACTCGAACTAGAGTCTCGACTCGAACTGGAGTCTGGACGTGGACTCGAGTCTGCGCCCATGGTCGTTTGGAACTTGGACTCATCAGAACTTTGAACCTCGGACCCCGTTGAGCTTAAAAGGAAAGAAACAAGTATCTACTTAAGATGCATCATACAGATTGAAATGATAGGAAATGCCGATAGCGAGAGCTTCTCTAAAATAATCAGCATTTAGTAAGAATACGAACAACGCAGAAACAAAGTGTAGCCTGTGAAAGGGATGGCTTTGAACATGCGGCAAGAGTTTATCTTGCCGTGCGTATTTAGCTGTGTTGGGCTGGGTCTGATCAGGGTGGGTTTATTTCGGCCGGTTTCAGTTGAGTCCGGTTGGATTTAGTCATGTCGAATGGGCCTGGTCCAGGCTGCGTATATTTAGTCAGCATTAGTTACAAAGCCTTCATAAACGCTACAAGCGCATGCCTAAAGTCTGACAGCTATTTAACACTGACTCGGCCAGTCATTAGGCAAGGCTGGTGATTTGGAGGTTATGTGGGGTTGGTCTAGCTCAAGTTTATCATGATTTGGATCCTGGACGATCTCTACTCGTGGTAACCTGATATGCAACGGTCTCCGCTGCGTGCAGTTCCCTAAGAAACTGATGGATTTCGATTCAAGGCTTTCGGGCTCGGCTTTAATTCCCAATGACTCGGGATGTCCTGAAAGTTTTCTCTAGCCAGATGAAGACTGGGTAGGAGACATGCATACAAATGCGTTGTGAGTACAGTAATCCACTGGGTTAGGCTGTCTACAACCTCACGCATTATTGGTGTTCAGGCCGTTTCCCTGTCAAAATAACTCAACGCTCACCGCACCAAATACATCGTGAGCGCTAGCTTTGACCTTCATAAGATCGCAACTCTTCAGCAAATTATACACATCACGCCACCATCACGTGCGCTTGAGCTTACATCGTCGTCATCCCCATGTAAATAAGCCAACGGTAGGCATTCCGACATCAACGGACTAATTAAAAGCATGCACTGGCTTCAATGCGTGCTAACGTCCGTACGTCATACCAGCGCCCTGTCGACATTTGTCGCCAGCGCCGGGCGTCTACCAGATGGTAGTGGTGCTACGGAACTCTCTGAACGGCGTCGGCGAGTACCGCTGGCGCCAGGCGGGCGGCGACCAGGGCGGCGTGTTCAGCATCAAGCCGGCCCACGGCGTCATCGACCCGTACCACAGCCAGCGCTGCCTGGTCACGTTCCGGCCGGCCGCGCGGCTGCGCCAGGCGCACGCGGCTACATTCGCGTGCCACGTGACCGGCGGCGACGTGCTGGAGCTGGCGCTGAGCTCCGAGCTGGGGGCGCCGCGGCTCCGGCTCACCGACGACCGGCTGCAGCTAGAGGGCCTACCGCTGTATCAGGTGCGCCGCTGCACGCCGCGGCTCTACAACGTCGGTGCAGTGGACGCATTCTTCTCGGTGTCCGATCCGCGGCCGGGCCCGGGCGTGAGCGTGTCGCCGGCCGACGGCGTGGTGCCGGCCGGCGGCTCCGTGACTCTCGTCGTCACCCTGGTGCCGGTCAGTCTGTGCCGTTTCGACTGCCCGGTGCGCGTGCTGGTGCGCGACGGCCAGGCGGTGACGCTGGGCATCAGCGGCCGCGTGGAGGCGCCGGAGGTGAGCAGCGACTGCGGCGCCCTCTACTTCGGCGGCGTGCACTGCGGCAGCAGCGTCAGCCAGGTCTTTCACCTGGAGAACCGCACCAAGATCCCGGCCACGCTCGAGCTTGACCTGCGCGAGCACGCCGAGTTCGCGCTGGCCGGCCTGTTCGAGGCGGCGCGCGACCAGTCTGTGGTCGAGACGGACGACCACCGGTACATCCTCCGCGTCGGCGCCGGCCAGCTGCTGCCCGTCAGCTGCCGCTTCGCGCCGCACTCGCTCGCCAACCACGGCTTCGTGCTGGCGCCGCTGCTGCACGCGCCGGACGAGGTGCGCGCCGTCGGCTCCTCGCGCCGACCCTCGCAGGCCACCGCGTCCATGGCCGATCGGCTGTCCAAGCCGAGGCGCGGTCAGGCAAGTCGGGCGGAGGCCGTGGTGCGGCTGCCGTCGCTCAAGGTGATCGCCACGGCGCTCAAGCAGCCGGTGCTGCTGAAGCCACAGACGCTGCGCTTCGACATCGGCGCCGACCTGCTCGAGAAGTGCTTCAAGGTCACGAAGCGCGTCACCATCGCCAACAACCTGAGCCGCGACATCAAGGTGGTCATCAACGCCAAGTCCAACGACTGCTTCCGCGTGGGCCAGCCGGACGCGGCGACAGGCTCGCGCGGCATCATCGAACACCAGCTGGCCGTCGGCGAGGAGATGAAGCTGCCAATCACGTTCGCCACCTCGTTCCTGTACCCGACGCACCCGACGACGGTGCGCGCGCACCTGCCCGTGTACGTGGACGCGCTGGACCAGCCGGCCGTGACGCTGGACATCCTGGCCGAGTGTCGGCCGGCACACATCACCACGGCGCCGCGCACGCTCTTCCTGGGCGCCGTGCCGCTGGACATGGCCGTCTCCTCCGACCTGAACGTCGTCTGTCACAACTACCAGCAGCCGGAGGAGCTCAGCGTCAGCGTCAGGCGAGTGGCGACGGCAGCGTCAGGTCGGCGGGGCTTTGGCCGCCGTCAGGCTGGCTAGGCACGGGATGGTGGTCGGGGAAGGTCGACAGACGGGAATTCGGTGCAAGTAAGTGCCTTAGCCGACGCCGGGCGAATGGGTGAGGTTTGATGTGGTAAAAGATGTGTTGATGTGTTCGGAGTTGTCAGGGGAACCCGACGGGGTCTTATGCGGGGGCTTATGTGGGGAGGGGGGGGGGAGATAAAGCACTGCACCTGAAGCAAATGTATGAATTACAGCACCCGCGGGCCGTTACGCGGCCATAGATCTGCTGACCAGGCGTGGACCGGGACGCGATCCGACCGTGCTAACACGCCGGCTGGCCGTTGCAGCTTCGCCGAGGTACACCCGGCCGACACAGTAGAGCTGCCGTCCATCACGTGGCGCTTCCCGAGCTCGGCGCGCGTGGCGGCCGGCCGGTCTTCGCAGCTGGTGCCGCTGGTGGTAAGCTTCACCGCTACGCGGCCCGTCTCGGTGAGCGCGCGCCTGGAGATCAGCGACCAGAGCGGCCGCGTCGCCAGCCTGCTGCTGCTGGCCAGCGCCGACAACTGCCTGCTCACCACCTACTCGTTCCTCAGCCTGCATCCGGAGCGGTACCAGGGCTGGCTGGCCATGCAGAGCCGGCCAGCGGAGGCGGCCGGCTCACAGGAGCTCGACTCTGGTCATCGGCCAGCCGGTGTGGCGTCCACCACGTCGGCGGCGGCTGCGGGCGGCGGCGGCGGCGAGCCGGTGCCCGAGTGTGACGTGGTGGAGCCGCCGGCGCGCGTCGCCTCTGTCTCCAGCGTGGCTTCCGAGCCGCTGGATATGGACCCGCTGCCCATGGACGTCGTGCTGCCCACGGGCTCCACCACCGAGTTTCCCCGGTTCCCCACCGGCAGCGCCGTGGAGGAGTTCTTCCAGGCCACCTACGACGCCATCGAGATGTGGTTCGTCAACTTTGGCTTCCCGAACGGCACGTTTCCCTACGAGCTGTACACGCACCTGCCGGAGTGCATGAGCCACTCGCAGCAGCCCAGCAAGTTCTCCAAGGAGGAAAAGGCGCAAGCGCAAATGTGGCAGACTTTGGGCGACTCTGTCGCATATCTCAGCAACAAGAAGATCCCGCAAGATATTGCAGAGGATGATGCCGATTTCGGTGATAATCGCAGCACAATTTTGATTTACATCAAAAGAAACCGAGCGATCCTTGACTTCCTGAAAAAGGAGGGTGCGCTACTGGCGCACGTCAGACCAGAATTTTTGCTACGGTACGAAGACTTTCAGATACTGCTTGAGGTTATTGAAGAAATACAGGAGAGCCGTGGCACGACCGGGCTCGACGTGGTAGTGAACGGCTCCTCTATTGATGCCGGTATCTCCGCCGGCAATTTGCAGACTAAGGACTCCTCGCCGTCCATGTCATCCACAGTCGCCTCCCTCAATGACGTGGCGAAGCACCTCCTCGATCCGAACATTATTGCCGTGTATGGAGCCTTCCGGGACAGCAGGCAGTTTAAGGATATTTCCAAGGCGGCTTGGATGGATATCCTTCTGCAGGTGTTCCGTAGGTTCATCCTGCAGACAGTCGTGAAGCCATCCAGCGTCACTCTGTGGCCGGAGATGTCAGAGACGGACGCCAAGTACATGCCGCAGGACATAGATCCCTTCGAGAGCAATATCTATAGCGTGCAGGAGCGCCTGCTGCTGGCCTGGATGACCTGGTCATACAACAGCCAGATGCGTCTGCTGTGGGACACCGACGTCTCCGACGACCACTGCATCACCAACTTCGACGCCGACCTAGACAACGGCGTGGTGCTGTGCGCCCTATTTGCCTCCTACTGCCCGTTCCTGCGCGACCATCTGAAGACTGAGGTGTACGCGCGGCCCTCCACCCCGGAGCAGGCGTTCCACAACTGCGTCATCGTCGCCGAGACGTGCTCGCTGCTCAACCTGGACACGCGTCTCAACCCGTCGGCCATCATGGACGCCAACCCGGTGGCCATGATCCTGCTGGTGACGGCGCTGTACGAGAAGCTGCCGCTGTACTGGCCACGAGAGGCTATCCAGTTCCGGCCGGAGTTGGGCTCCAGCCAGGCGCGCCAGCTTCACATGCGCAACACCAACAACCGCGTCGTTGTCTATGAGGTGAAGATGCTGGGCGGCGAGCGCGGTGTGTTTCACGTGCAAGGCGGCCCGGAAATCGCCGTCGGGCCGCGCCGCACCCTCGACGTCACCGTCCAGTGCAGCGTGCACCGCATCAAGCAGTACTCAGGTCAGTGCCCGGCCCCGGCTGGTGTCGGTCCGGCCGCTCCGCCCCCTCCCCGGAGTAATGGCTGCGTCATGCTCCCATGACCTCCTTCTTTCGGGCTCGCTTACTACACCGTGCTGTCCCGCTGCCGTGTGTCTCAACCCTTCCTCTTGCTGTCCCGTGGGTCTGCTCATCACGCCGTGGCGGGCCATGCTGTTTGTCAGTCCACTCCGACTCCGTGGTAACGGCAGCCGAGTGGTTAAGCTTCGCGTTCGGGAAACCAGAGGTACGGATTCGGTTCCTGACGGCGCCCTCTCGCCAGGGTGCGAGGCGGGCTACGTCACACAGCTCCAGCAGCCGTATCGTGCTGCCCTGATGTGATGATGTGGTGTCTCAGTGCGTCGTGAAGCCCCGATGACTAATACCCGGCGCCGTCCGTAGCCACGCTACTGCTGTGCCCCAAGTCGACGGTGGCGCCGCGGCCGAAGCCGCTGGTCTACCCGCTGGCCGGCGGACCGCTCGGCACCTCGGCGCCGACCGTCGTCGACGTCGTTTCGCCGCTCTACAGCTGTCGCCAGGTGCGCGTCGACGTGCCCAACCCGCTCAAGGAGAGCGGCGACTTCACCGTCCGGCTGACGGACAAGCCGCAGGGCGACCTCGACCTCGACACGTGGCTGCGCGGCGGCGTCGATGCGTTCCCCGTGATCGCGCTCACTCGGCCCGTGGCGCTCAAGGCGCGCGGCAAGTCGCGCGTCGACGTCACGCATATGCCGTGGGCGGCGCGATGTCGCGACTACTACGCACTCTTCTCGAACGCGGCACTGGGCGACTTCGTCGTGTGCTTCCGCTCGTCGCCGACCGACCCGGAGCCGTTGGCGGCCGTGTGGCCGGCGCACGGCTGGCTGGCGCGGCAGGTCGCGTCGCGAGCCGGCCCGCTCTGCGCCGAGCCGGCCATCGCCGGCGTGCCGCTGGTCTGCAAGAGCGTCACCATCGGCCAGCGCGCCGTGCGGGTGAGCGCGCTCCGCCGCGTCGCCTGCCCCGGCGGCTGCGGCGTCCGGGCCGGCCGCGCGGCTGCGGAGCCGTCCGGCTGGCCAGACGCGGGAAACGGGGCGTTGCCACGCGATGTGCTACAGGATGCCCCCGTAGGAAGTGTGGTAGCTGGTCCTGTTGAGTTGAGGAGACCCGCACAAACTGCTTGGTTGCTGGGTGGGTGTAGTGACAGTGCCTGGGTGAAGTGGGATTGAATATCTAGGTTAAACGTGCGCAGGCCGGCTGCCGGGACGGCCGAGAGGTGGGGCTGGGGCCACGTGACCATTGTGGCATGCACGTGGGTCCGACGATGGGACGGGCGAGAGGGGAGGTCGAAGCCCGGGTGACCAACCCCTCGTACCCAGGTCGGCTGCCGGGACGGGCCGCAGGCGGAGCTGGAGGCGGTCGTGCAACGGGCCGGCCCGCCGCCCGAGCAACTCGCCGCCTTCTGGGTGATCGAGGTCGACGACGTCCTCTGCGCCCACTGTCACCTGCTCGTGGACCTCGGGGCCAAGCTGCGGGGCTTCCTGGAGCAGTGTGCGCCCGCCTGGGAGAGCGCCGGCGAGCGCGAGCGCCGCAAGCTGAACGGTCAGTGGACGGCGCCCGCCGGGACGAGCGGCGCGGACGCGTCTGAACTGGTGCCCGAATGATGAAAGACAGGAGGATGGGAAACGTCCTGATCAGCAGCCAGCTCGGCAGGCAGGCGATGGGAATGTAGGGAAGGAAACAGCTGGCTGAACGACCTCTCATGCATTCATCGCGACTTGGGGCCCTTTCTGCTCATGCAGATATATTCTGCAGCTGTTTAAGACGCATTTTGCTGCTGTAAAATGCGTGAAATGTCGTCATCAACGTTTAGCTGTCGACGCATTTCACCAACATGTGTGACGAGCGACCACAAGCAGCCGGCGCCATGGCTGGTGTCGCCACCTATCAGTCGCGCACAGCTATTTTATGTTTGATATTTGAACATTTGGGCCGTTTGGTTGTATAGTCAGTGTTCATCCGCCCCGCAGAATGTCTTCACGACAGCCCCTGAACACGAACGCATTTCTCCAAGTTCCAGAAAGACCCGCACCTGCTAGTGTTTTCCAGATGTGTTAAGCCGCTGGGCACAGGGACGGAGGCCTGCATACCCAGCTCCCAGAGTGTAATGAATGTTTGAAAGACATCAGTATAAATGTCCAACAATTCGCATCAATGTTCGCAGGATAGCGCATTTTTATCCTGCTCTTAGTATCCTTACCGCATTTTTAAAATCAGCATTCCAGGTGGGACATCCTGTGTTATTCCAAAGCAGCGTTTTTTTTCATGAGGATGATTATTTTTGCGTACAGTTACTATCTGCTGGTTGATAGGGAATGCAAAGCAGCCAAATGCCGCCGATGATGGCAAATTTCTAGTGAATGTCTCTCAATTTCCGTTCGTGTCAGCAAGGGACCAGCGAAACAGTCACGGCTACAAAACGGAGAGATGAGGCTTCTTGCTCCTGGTTACACGGACGGCTAGAGACAGAGAGAGAGAGAGAGAGAGAGAGAGAGAGAGAGAGAGAGAGAGAGAGAGAGAGAGAGAGAGAGAGAGAGAGAGAGAGAGAGAGAGAGAGAGAGAGGGAGAGAGAGACACGTGCAGAGGAACGAATATAGGTTATGCCGTCCAAAATAAAAAGTTAAGGGCGACAAATATGAGAGTGATCCGGGCAACATCAGCATCACGAAGACGCTGCATGGCCGATGAGAGAAATGTTGCTGGTGAATCGGGCGCTGGAGCCTCGCCGAGCCAGGATGTGGTAGTTCGCTAGACATTCACTGAAACCACTTGTTTCCAGGCACTCTCGTTTCTAGTGAAATGATCCAGCAATTTCAGAAGACAAAGTACGTCCACGAACCCAAAATGCCGTGTTCTTCGGTTGCCAAAGGACCACCATCACCAGAGCTGCCGGAACCACCCCCAGGTCAAGTGACCTACCAGGTCCTCTGCCGGAACAAAGACTTTCTGATATCACCACGGCTGATTGAGATCGAAGGTAAAACCCGCATACTTATCGCCATAAGAAAGCACGGAAAAGGTATATCATCTGGCACACCCCGACTGCTTTTTTAGGGAAGTTGTGTCGCATTTAAGATCGCAGTAAGTGCACTTACACCTGTAGTACATAAGCGAACCCATTCGCCCAATATCATAATTTACCAACAGCGTGCAAAATAGCTGTAAATTGATGCTGTTCACAGTTCCGTGGAAACGTTCGCTTCATCTCAGCGTCTTGCAGCTGTCCCACCGAGCATGATCCCCACACCACTCCCGGAATAAGAGTCAAGGCCATAGGCGTCACAACTCCACACTAATAGGCGTCTTGTTCACTCGTGCGTCTGCCCCACATCCAACCTACCTCTTCCACCCCCACTCCCCAACGCGCTACAGCCTGCAGGCGTGCCCGCTCTGTTGTTGATTGGAGTTTTAGGGCGCGTCGACTACTGTGGTCATTTTGCGACCAGTGCTCTGTGACCATTTGACCACATCTACTGTGACCATTTTGCGACTCTTAACCCGCTCGTGTGGACACTGGCGAGCCCGTCCACGCCTGCCGCCCACACGCGTCGCCCCCCAGCCGCCCCATCCTGACCCGGTGCCTGTCCTGTCCACAGGCACAGCCGGCCTCAAGTCGGTGCCGCTCTGCCTGAGCGTCGCCGGCGTGTCGCCCGGCTGGCACGCGGCCGATATCGTTCTCAGCTGTCCCAAGTTCAGTGACGTTATCACCGCCAGGGTGGCCGTGCTGGTCAGCAAGAGCAGCCCAGCGTGAACAGAGCTCGGCGCTGGCCGCCCGTCGTCGGCCGAGAACGCGAGGCGGGCCGAGGGCAGCTGTAAGTGTCTGAGAAAATTGTCCAGTTTGTGCGCATTCCAATGTCGTCTTGTCAGTAATAAACCTGAAAGCGATACCTCGTCTGAAACTTCATGGCATTACCTTACGCAACCCTCGTACCATAAGCGTGGGGTGTACTCAACACAGCAAACAGCAGGCTCAATTTTTCGGTCAGCATGCCCATGCGCGCACCAACGGATTGACGCTAAAATGGCATATGAGCCAGGCGTCTGCTGCCCGGGCGTTACGACTTCCCTCCGTGTGTGCGCATTGGTCTCGGATGCTCCGGTTCACTGAAAACGCAACGCCATTCCTGAATTTGAAGATTATTTATTAACTGAATATATCGACCAGGGTGTTGGGCCACATAACAGCCAACAAAAAGTGAGCCCAGTAGAAGCGAGCACATGGATAAATAGCACATCTGACAACGAAATCAGGTAAATGGACGTTATACAGAGGAACTGCTCAGGTGGATCATACCGGTTTTGTTGACGCGGGTGTTGGGGACACACAGGGACGCTCGGTTGGCGACAAGAGATCCGTACACTGCCAACATGTGGGCACGTCGAAGTCACCGCACACCCGTTCTGCAGAGTATTACATGCCGCCGACCTCAGCCGGGTGACCGCAGTAGGTGGGAAATGCAACAAAATCGATACCAAGCGCAATAAATGATTATTGTGGACAGGTGGGCGGGCCGACATTTGTACTGGAACAACCATGTACCGGGCCAGGTTTTTTCCCTTTGAACATTTCGTTGCTATCACGGGCTGGCGGACAATCGAAAACACATTTTTTTCAGGCAAACAATATTATCAGCAGCGAGCCGTTCCCCAGTAGGTTCTCGCAACCCATTGCCTCCCAATTCCGACCCTAGCTCAAATCACCTCATAAGATGCCAAGAACCTACGCCGGGTCAGCAGGTGGAAGACGCCAAACGGCTTTCCCTTCCCGTTTGACTTCGCTGCCATCTGAAATGGATTGACCGTAATGCCGGTAACATTATGCAGAGGTTGCATCGAAATCGCATCCACATTCCGGCGTCGAACAAATTGAACATTGAGCCTCGGAATGAGGTCAATGAGGACGGCTTTTACGGACCAAAGTCCATGCAATAAAGAATAGGAGTCCAAAGAAGTTCTCCTACTCCTTTTTAGGGAGCAATACGAATGCGAACGAATGAAAGCAGCTGTCCATGACTGACACCTGTCTGCTTTACAGGTGGTCGCAAGGGATTCCGATAAGTTATTTTATGACAAATAAATGATAAACATGGGCTTAACCGTGCCGTTTCCTGACGGGTGTCCCATGTGTTGCCATGCCTATCCTCTCCGCGACACGCGCGGTCCTAAGCATAGCAGTAATCTGACATCTAGACGTCCTCAAGTGACTCGCTGGTTGGCGGCTGGACAGCGACGCGCCGCGGTCGCCGACCGAGCGCAATGCCCCGTACTATCACATGACCGTCACCCAGTGATCGCGCCGCAGCGGACTGACTCGAGCTCCACGCGCGTCACCGTCGTGTTTGTGTTTGTGTTGGAGGGGAGAACCCGCCGGACCGAGTGAGCCCCACGCGGCGGGTCCGACGAGAGGCCGGCCCGCCACGCGCGAGCGGCCACAGAGGAGGCCGGCGTGGCCCCGGCGCGCCGGGCGACGGCACCCCGCCGTCGGCGGTGGCCGCTCAGAGCTTGGCCTGCGGCGGCGTCACGGACACGTCGACGGCGGGCGCCACGTGCGGGAAGTGGCCGTGCAGCGCCTTGAAGGCGGGCACGTTGAGCACCGCCTCGCCGGCCTGGTAGTCGGGCGGCGCGCACAGGCCGTCCGGCAGGCAGGGACACGTGTCGGTGCACTGCGACGACAGCACATGCGCCGCCAGCTTTCGGCGGCCAGGCGCCGTGTGGCAAACGTGCGCCTCGAAAAACTTGACCAGCTCGTCGCGCTCGATCGTCTTCAGCTGCTCGACTTCGTCGCGCTCGCGGCCAAAGTAGTACTGCCGGATGACGATTTCGTCCCAGTGGCGCGTGAACTCGTCCGCGAGGTTCTTGGGCTTCTCCAGCTTGCGCGTCTCCAGCGCCTCCTTGTGGTTGGCGAACTCCTCGGCGCTCATCTGGCGCAGGTGGTCGGCCATGCTGTGCAGGAACGCCTCGATGCGCATGTCCACGTACTCGGGCGGCTTGTCCGACTGCACAATGACGCGCAGGCCCTGCGTGGACGTGGAGCGGCGCACCGTGCACCACACGATGTAGCCCAGCTGCTCTTTGGTGCGCAGCTGATCGAAGCAAGGCTCGTTCAGTATCTGCACCAGCAGGTCCAGCAGCGTGTTGTCGCGCACACTCTGCAGGCCGCACTGGTAGTATACGTCGATGCTGGAGCTCTTGTGCACGTCGTTCTGCTTCTGCACCGTGTAGTACTTGCCGTCGTCCAGCATGGTCTCGCGGTCGAGGATCTGCAGGGCGGCTGGGATGGGGCGCACCGAGAAGCCGTCGCGGAGGCGCGACTCTACCAGCGAGACGAGCTCCAGCGCCCGGCCGCGCGTCAGGTTACCCTCCAGCAGACACTCAAGGTGCAGCTTGCTGAGCAGCAGCGGCAGCAGGCGCTCCACCGCCTCCACCGTCAGTTCGTCGACGGCCTCCAGCAGCGCGTCGTGCTCCCAGTACTTCTCCACGAGAACCACGTTCATCTTGTGCGTGGCGTGCAGGTACGGCTGTTCGGCCGCGAAATTGCGCAGCGAGCGCAGGTACGCTTCCTTCAGCACGTCGAAGCGCGCACGGTCCACGCGAAAGCTCACCATCGAGTCCATGATCTTCCGCAGCAGGACGTCCAGCTTGTGGCTGAAGCCGCCCACCTCCAGCATCATGCCGCGCCGGCTGACACCCAAGTTGTAACGCACGCCGGCCACGCTCGCCGCGTACGCGTAGTCGTTGAGCGCGTCCTTGAACAGCATGGTGAACATGTGCGTGACGTTGACCATGTGCGGGTCCGAGTACGCCACCGGGTTGAACAGCTCCACCTTGACGATTGACTTTGGCAGCTTGAACGTGTCGTCCTGCTTGAACCAGACGCGACACAGCGGAGTATTGGCCAGCATGACGGGCGCGTTGTGCGCCGCCTGGTCCCGCTCCACCAGCTCGAAGTCCTCCGGAATGAACTCGTTCGGCTCCGGGAGATGCAGGTTGGGGTTCGGCTCGAGAGTGCGCCAGCGCTGCAGCGTCTCCGGCGGGATCTTCTGCACGCTGTAGCGCGTGCCGTACCAGCGCTCCGTCACGTCACACTCGGCCTCGTACGCCTTGCCGAGCAGCGTCATGCGCACGTTGTCGGGCGTCATCTTGTCCGTCACCATCTTGAGCACGTCCGGGTCGTACTTGTCGGTGATGTAGTCTGCCGAAAGCACCTCGGCCATGGGGTAGTAGTAGAGCAGGGTGGCCAGGTTGGTGGCGTAGTCGCTCGGCTTCTCCTTGTCCTTGAAGCGGAAGGACATCTCGCGCAGGCGGCGGCCCTCGTCGAACACCCACTGCTGCGGGCCCTCCTGACGCAGCAGCGCCAGGTACTGGAACACGTGATCGGCCACCTCGCCCACGCGCCGCTCGCCCTCCTCGGTCAGGTCGATGCTGACGTACATGTACTGATAGCCGCGAACGGGGCCGCTCGGCCCGCCCACCAGCGAGGTGGCCCAGCCGAGCCGCTTCAGCTCGGCGTACAGGCTGCCCGGGCCCTCGTGACCCACCAGGTGGCCCACGTAGTGGCCCGGGTTGGTGCGGTACCACGGGTGCAGGTCGGGCACCGGGAAGTGCAGCTTGAGCTTGCGCAGGTCCTTGACGGGCGTGACGCGCAGACAGGTGCCGATCTGCTCCGGGCCGCACGGGTGCTCCGGCCAGCTGGGCGCCTCCACCCCCTTGTCCTCCACCGCCGAGAACAGGTCGACGGCCATCGCCTCCAGCACGTCCAGCTCCTCCTTGCCGACCAGCACCAGGCCCATGATGTTGGCCGAGTACCACTGCTGGTGGAACTGGAGCAGGCGCTCCCGCACGTCCGGCCGGTCCAGCGTCTCGCGGCTGCCCGTGCTGAACTTGCGGTGCGGGTGGCCGGCGCGCGACGTCGTCCGGTCCACCTGCATCAGCCGCCACGTGTCGTTGGCCACGTTCTTCTCGTGCTCGGAGTGTACGGCGTTCACCTCGCGCTCCGTGCTGCCCTCGGCGAACAGCGGCGAGATGAAGAACTGCGCGAACCTGGCGGCGCACGGAGCGCGGCGCGTCAGCGGCGGCGGGCGCACACCGGAGCACCAGCACACCACCAGCAGACGGCGCACGAGCGGCGATGCTGCCGCTCCTTGCGGCTGACACGATTGCGATGCTGAGTTGGCGAAAGTAACGGAACATAGGAAACCATTCGGCATGTGCAGCTCAGCGTACGTAAAATGAACAGATACGTAACGTAAAACAGCGAACAGCGAACGTAAAATGAGCTCTACATACGTAAAATGAACAGATAGTTCCTAGCATGAGCTTGAGGATCATCACATCTTATCCTCCTCAGTCGTTCGCTGCGACAGTGGCAATGGCCGAGAATCATTCTATCTTATCCCACAAAGTTGCTGGCCACGATAGTGGCAATGACCGAGGATTATCATATCTAATTCCTTACAGTCGCTGGCGACGATAGAGGTAATGACCGAGGATTACCATGTCTTATCCTTCACAGTCGCTGGCCACGACAGCGGCAATAATCAGCATGCTGACTTAACACCCACCATCGCGCAATGTACTTCAAATGGTGTTATTCAACTGGGAAATATGTCACCTGGGCTTCATACCGGTTTAACCTACCTGTCCAAGGCCCCCTTGAAGTGCTCGGGCGCCACTTCGAAGTGGTAGTTGGTTTCGTCGTTGGACGTGTACGCGTTGCTGGTGCCACCGTGATCGTTCAGGAACTTGGAATACTCGTTCTCGTCGGGGTATTTCTCCGTGCCCATGAACAGCATGTGTTCGCAGAAGTGGGCCAGCCCCTCCAAGTCATCGGGGTCTGAGAGGTGCCCCACCTGCAGACGAACCGGCACCGGTTAGGGCCAGGGCAGAACCGATCGGACGAGGTCAGCTCCGCACACAAGACCGTCAGCGCCGGCACGGACACGTCATTCGTAAACCACATCCACTCCCTATTACCTGCAGAGCCCAGCATGCAGGCGTGCAGAGCAAAATCCAACTCTCCGCTTGACTGTGCACGCACCAGCGGCAAGCCACCTAACTCTTGTCACAGCCTTGAAAGCGATCTGTGTGAGCCTTGCTTCAAAGACTTTTCGTGGCGATAGTCGTCCCACCGCCTCCAGGACACCAGCGGATGTCACGCGCCGCCACGCCACTGGCCGGCCGGCCAGGAGCCGGCTGTGCGAACCCTCACCTGAACGGCCATGGACGCGGCCGCCTTGTCGGCCAGCGGGTCGCTGACCAGCAGCACGCGCAGGTTGTTGGAGAGAACGAGGCCGCGGTGTTTGCGCCGGTCCTCGGTCGACTGGCGGATGTTGTCGCACCGCTGCACCACCGACCCCATGGCCAGAGTGGACGCCAGACGCCGGCCGGGAGCGCTCAGGCCACCCACCGCCCGCAGCATAGCACGCACGCCTGCAGCGGACTGCAGAGGAGGGTGGCGTCAGCGCAGGTGACGGCCGCTCGCGACACACGGGGGTGAGTGTCACCCAACACCCGCAGCATGGCACGCACGCCTGCAGCCGACTACAGAGGACGGCGCCAGCGCAGGTGACTGCCGCTCGTGACAGCGGGATGAGTGCCACCCACCGCCCGCACCATGGCACGCACGCCTGGAGCCGACCAGAGGACGGCGTCAGGACGGGTGACGGGTGCTCGTGACAACGGGATGTGTGTCACCCAACGCCCGCACCATGGCACGCACGCCTGCAGCCGACAACAGCGGACGGCGTCAGGACGGGTGACGAGTACTCGTGACAGCGCGATGAGTGTCACCCAACACCCGCAGCACAGCACGCACGCCTGCAGCCGACAACAGGGGACGGCGACAGAGCAGGTTGGGGGGGGGGGGGGGGAGGTCATGGGTCGGAAGTGTCCCTGAGAGAAAAGACATTGTTGGGAATAATTCAGATGACGTTCAGCAGAGTGCGAGACAAGCTTCAGTACGTTTGCCTTAGAACTGCAAGCGTTGTCGGATGCTGCAAACCTTTTGCATTGCATATGGTCAGTGGCCCAAATTTGGCATGGAATTAGGGACGTACACTTATCACCCCTGACTGGTTTGGTACATTGTTCAACTCGGCTTGAAACACTCTCGCTCATCCGTTAAACCTTGTTCCTTCAACTGGAACAAGGTTTAACCATTGGTCGGCCATTGTGCAAACTTCCTACGGTGCAAACTTTTTATACAGCATGCTTTCGTATAAACTTTGGTGCTTTTCAAGCTAGGCTTTCGAGGCCTTTGTATTGGTTCACTCCCAATCATGATTGTTCACTAAGTGAATTTAATGTAGCAAGCAAAATAGAGGTTCCGAAATCGTTCTGAGCGTCTAATGGAAATCAGATTAAACCAAATTCATGAGTTGGTTTCACCATTCATTTACGAAACCAAATTCATCTCAGGCCGTTCTGAGATAAATTTAGAAATTTGGATGTTAATTTGGTGACGCATGTCGCACAATATTGGCCTTGGCAGGTATGGCCTGCGGCCGGTGGCTGCGGTCGCGCTAATGGTTAACGTCAAAGGGCAGGACGGACCGCGCCGAGCCTTGCGGCACGTTAAGCTTTCGCCACTAAATTCTGCCGTTGTCTTGAATTGCGCGATCGGATGGTGGGGGTCAGGGCTCACAAAACAAGCACTGCGTAGCGTGAGCCCTGATCCCAAAATCCATCCATTTAAAGCGTTCGGATCAAATTTAAAAAATAGTAATAAAAATAATGCACATGCAAGGACACTACAACCAGGGCCACAGCATTCCCTCGGGTGCCTATGTAGGCGAGTAAAAGGCCTATAATTTATCTAGTTCAAACTTGGCTGGTATAGGTGATCAACTACAAGTTGGCAACGCATCAAGGGTGTGTAAAAGCTGCTATGCTACAGATTAAAAGAACGCCGGGCAAACTGAAAACGTGCACAAATTTGGAGGGTCATCTGGTATGCTGATATCGAACTGTGCCTGCATCAAAATGTTTTCTTACCAAGTTTGTCCATGCGGGATATCTTGAATTAACAATTTCACTGTTCACTTCCGATTCCCACCAGTCTGGTCAAAGCCCGTATGAAAGTGGCACGTTGAGAACTACTTGAGAGGTTCTTTAAAAGCTACAGCAATGTAAACTTGACAGCATACGTTATGAAAGGCTTACCCGCATTTATAGGATGGCAGAGCATATGATGTAGTTAACATAAGACAGAAAAATACGCTCCTTTCACCATAGCACCTTTTCACAGGGATCTGGTTTGTTAGCAGTCTGAAACGCACGGGAATCGTGGCAAACAGGAGCGACACACATCGTTTGTGGTCACCCCCATGAAAACAGCGTGCAAATGTTAGCACGGAAGCGCTGCAAGGTTGGCGCCAAATGTTGCAGGCAGCTGGCGCCGCCGTTGCCACGCTATTGCACTGGATGTCAATCCATAAACATTCTGCAGGCTTGACCAGATCATGTGCCGCCTCTCACCCGGCCGGGGACGTCCTGGGGTGACAGTGTTTGGTGATCAGGCGCTGGTGAGGTCATGTGTCGCCGGTCTGGGGCTGCCGCTGTTTTGGCAGTACGTTCGGCTGACCGTCCGTGTTTGGCAGCCGTCGTAGAAGTCATGCAACAGCGGGCGCGTTTGTGCGCCTCATGCTACATTTCATGCATTATGGTGTTTAATTTCAGTTTCGGAAGAATCCGTTTAGCCCCATTATTTACGTTTGGAGAATACGGCATTTCGATGAAAGAAGAGACCATGACTGACACACATGCGGACAATATTCTGGACCACGCCAGGCGTGTGCGGTGTCGCAAGACCTAAGGCAGGTAACCAGAAACCTTCGGAGAGTATAAGATGAAACTGGTCACAGACCTCGAAAGAAACCCAAAGGCCTTTTGAAGGTGCGTCAACTCACTACGCACAAGATGGACGGAAACCTTCTTGACGACGTGTTGACCAGCAGCAGCGCGGGAAAGGACAGTGTTCTGTGCAAATTCGTCGCCAGCGTTATCACGGAAGAATGGTCTAGCGCCATGCCGATGGCGCCTAGCAACCTCGATGGACCTTTAATGGATGCCGTGGACATCTCCACTCGGGCAGTGGCAAAGAAATTGACATCACTGAAACCATAGCGCCCCTGGGCCAAACGATGCACACCCCAGATTCTTCGTGAGTCTGAAGACGTCCCAGCAGTACTCCTGAGCACACTGTCACAGAAATCACTGACATCCGAATGGTTCGCCAGGAATGGAGGCTTGGTGAGGCAGTCCCCGTCTTTCAAAAAGTAAACCGACAGTCCCTGCGACCTATGGTCCTGTAAGCCTTACTGCTGTTCCCTCCAAGGTGCTTCCACTTTTGATCAGAGATGCTCCACTTAACCACTTCTCAGAGACTGGACTCCTTCATGCAGCCCAGAATGGGCTTCTACCAAAGCACTCCTAGAGTACCTGGCCTTCCGCAAGTCATGGCAGATTGGACCACTGCTGCAGAAGATGGGGAGCCCATGGATGCAGTGTAACTCAACTTCAGCAAAGCCCCCAATTTTGTGCCTTGTAAATGACTCCTCCCCATGCTCCATGCTTATGGTGTGAGAGGCAACTTGCTGTGATGAATCAGGGCTTTCCTTACCTACCCAATGCAGAGTGCAGGCTCAGGGCTCAAAGTCAGATGGGATTGACGTCATCAGCGACATCCCACAAGGATCAATGCCAGGACCAACCCTTTTCATCATCTTCATCAGCGACCTACCAGATCTGGTGTGAAGCGTCACACTGTCAATGTGTGACCAACCCTTTTCATCATCTTCGTCAGCGACCTACCAGATCTGGTGTGAAGCGTCACACTGTCAATGTGTGACCAACCCTTTTCATCATCTTCGTCAGCGACCTACCAGATCTGGTGTGAAGCGTCACACTGTCAATGTGTTCATGGATGACACTAAAGTAAACTGTTGTGTTCTGAGACCCCTGACTGTGTCTCCTCTACATGTCTACTGTAACACCCAGGTCAAGTGATCAGGGAGGGCAACTGATCCACTCTGATGCATCAAAGTGCAAAATGATGCACATCATCCAGAAGGATCTCAGAATCTTTGTGGATTACAGGTTTAAGTTTTGTGTGCAGATGGGGACGTGATTTAAAAGGTCAACCAGGTGCTGGGATTCATGGGGCGGTCATTTGTGAACATCAATGTTAACAGGCTGCCACTGTTGCATAAGGCCATAGTACACCTGCATTATGAGTATGACAACATAACCTAGAGTCTGTGTGGCACGCTGGACTAGAAGTGGCTGCAGTGGGCTTAGTGATAAGCTTCACCTTTTCTACATGAAGTGAGGCACTGACCATACCCTGAGAGGCTCAGCCTCCTCCAGCTGCCCCACTGTGTTACTATCATCAGAGGGGAGACACAGTTGGAAGCTTATTCAGCATGCTGGCCATCAATAACTGGAACTCTCTTCCACATTCAGTGGTTTTGTCAGTATCTGTTGGGTGCTTTAAATCCAGGTTGATATATGCTCGGCTCAGTGATGTACAGTGAGCTAGATAGACATTATTCATGACATCCACACTGATCACCTTCATCACCTTATTTGTTTGGCTACAGGAATAGGAGCTGGAAGGGGCCAGGATTTGCAGGCCAAGTGGTCTTTTAAAATGTATTATCAATATAAGGTCAGGTAAGATAAGGCAAGGCAATCAATCACCACACACACTGACACTGTCAGGAAACTGCCCTGATGCCCATGACTTCTTTCAGAAGTTGTATTTCATTATCATTATTATAGCAAAGGCAGATAAATGTTATTTAAGAATGCAGTATGAATTTCAGTGGCATTTAGATAACAGTCATTGCTTAACACAGATGGAGCTGGGATGCCAGTCTGCAAGAAATCCATCATATGCACCACACAGGAAATTGGTGCAATGAATAGCTCACTGGCATGTGGCAGAATCAGGCCTGGCCAAGCTGTGCTGAAATTTCAGCATTCAAGTGTCAAAAATGCTTATGGAAAATGCTTGCCTGAAATTACCTTTGCAACATAATTATTCTAAGCAATGGTTCTCCACATGCTGATATTGGCAGCAGCTGGGCCAAAACAAGAGCTTTCAGTACCATAAGCACACACACACAATGAAGGGGTTCACGCGATGTTGCTGCCACAGCATGTATGGTACGAGGTCCATTTTCTTGCGGTTTGGCTAGAATGAACAATGCATTGTCACCACCACCTAAGTTGCCATATCAAAACAATGATTCTTACAAGGTCCATCATACTTGAGACATCAAACACTTTGGATCACGACTTGGCTGAGTGTTAAGGGTTAATTAACAAGGATGGATCCGCCCCGCGAACATAATTTTTCAAACTGCCACTGGAGCCATCGAAGCACTTACTCACAAGACAATACCCACTGATATTCGGGCTACTTTTCCTTGAAGCTGGTTCGAATACACAAATTCTGGAGAACCGAAGCGCACCGATGAGCCTCGTGGGTGACCGCAACTGAAAATCGTGTTCGGTGACCTCAGTGCAACGGCCTTGAACTTGCGCTTTACCTTCCGTGATCCCGGACAGCCTCCACTTCCGTGAAGCAACCGCGAAGCACGAACTGGCGGTGAATGCAGTGAATGTGCCGTGTGTGAGCATTGATATCTACGTTGAACATTGGCGTACCTTGTAGCCGTGACGTCACTACTAAACCAACTGAACCATGAAATTTGCTATCACTCACAGAGATAAGTTATTTACCTTTTTGGCAGGGTTTCAGCTGAGGCAGATAAATTGAAGGAAGGACTAAAACATAAATTTTGGTGAGGGGAGATTCATTTTTCACCCGAATCTATAGATGCAGGATTTAGATTAATGACTTGTGGGTGCAGGCCTCAAGTTCGGTAATAAAAGCTGTATGTAGCATGTTAGAACTGAGTGAATACAAAACTGTTTAACTATATGCTATAATTGCATCGCTGATCAAATAATAACTCACTTTGTAGTCGATTCACACGTTGGCTTGATTTATGACGTCATCTGCTTTGACAGTAAGCACCGTAGCAAAGGACCCAATCCACAGCTCTCGGTACATGTGCGACCGTTGTTCAACATCACTAGCGAACCTGGTGGCTGTTGGGGTAACGAGTATGACCATAGAAATTGTTTTGTGTCCCGATGGCCAAAACAAAGCTGGGAAATCATCATCGCTCGCGCAAACTTGGCCGCTATTTATCACTTATCAATTCTCGGCGCCTGGGTGGGTGCGATGATTGTGGGGGTGATGGCGATAGGGCATTGCGTTTGCAAGCCAATTGGGACGGATACGAGCTGTCCGCGCGGAATTAAATTCGTGATTTCATTTCGGACTTGTGTAGTGGAAAGGTGGGTATTTGAAACAACTGGGTTACCAGCCAGCAAAACTTAACAGATCATATATTTTTGTGTACACTTGTTGTAAGGGCAACAATATGAAGCATCTTATCAAAATGAACGGATAGAAATACCTGGATTGGAGCAGCTCGTGCTATCATGAAGTGCATAATACTCTGGAACATAAAGGGGCTCTGTCTTGTGAGAAAACATGCTTTGAAGCAGGTTGGGCTAGCAGGAGCTGCTGCACATGGGTGACATGCTAACCCAGCAAGATTGCAAATCCATTTGGTTTTGCAGACAGTAAAAGACATAATCAGCATTGAGAAGCATGTAAATATAACTGATAGTGGGTTTATGAAATAGCAATGCTTCTTGCTTTTTGTGTGCCAGCAAAGCTGGGGTAAATGTATGATAAATACAACTGATGTGGCATGGTGAAGCCACCAACTCCAGATTTGACTGCTGCATCATATCACCATTGGCTTAGGATTCAGCTTTGAAGCCAGACTCCTGACTTTGTTCCAATGCCTGCTACTTGGCTGCAATGCCTGCTGCTACTATGTCTGTTGCTACTAGCTTCTGTTGCAGAATCACAGGCCCTGACCTGGGTTTTGACTCCCCATCAATATACATGTGTTTGATCTTGGTCATTTTACACTGATAATAACTTTGGCTTTGCAGTATCAAACTTAAGGCTACCAGCTTTGGCTTCAGTTCATGCTTTATGTCACTGCCCTGGATTTGGATTCATCTTTGAAACCAGAAGCCTGGCTTTATCCCATGCCTGCTCAACAGTATCAAAGGATTAATTTGGGCAGCTAGACTGGGCACGTTGTTATAGTTTATTGGAGCAAGCATCTCAATAACCACTGATTACTGTGTCATGTATTTTCAGCCATAACATGTAATTAATTAAGCCTACTGTAAAAGAATAAGTTGATTCAATGCAACTTTGCACACAGGTGTAATGTGACAGTATAGACAGTATCTGGCTTCCCCATTTTATTCACACAAACATAATTTGATGACTGCAAAAAGCTACCACATCACCACAGCTCTGGGCAAAACCAGACCAGGTCCTAATGACTGGGTGTCAGGGGGACACCGGACTAGCCTTTGGTGAAGGGGTGGGCAACAAACTGCACTGTGGAAGGTGTAAATCAATTTGTGTCACCAGGCACACATACTTGGATGCAAGCCATAGATCTACCCATTTTTTTCAGGAACATTTCTAAGAATCAGTCAGATTTTGGCAACCAGGGGTGGTGACTTCATAAAAAGTGCACTCAGGGGAGGGCGTAGGTCCCACCATCCTCAAGCAGGCTGGCACTAAGTAATTTTACCTCATAATACTTACCCCATATTTCGCCTTACGTATTAGTGCGTTAGTAATCAAACAGGGAGGGGGGGCAAATCTCATGTTCAGTACTGATCTTGAGTGTGATTTTATGTGTTGAAGGGAGCTGTAAAGAGTTTGTCATAGGTGTTGGAATAAAACCAAAGCTGTTTTCCATCGCGGCCTAGTATGCTTCACTTCCCGACACTCACTTCTTGATGGAAATTTGTTCCAAATTGGCAAGGTTTGGAGGTAAAATTCAGTGTTTCCCCGGGCAAAATTCTAATGAACAAAACACTCAGCTCGCAGCTTTGTGTAAATATTGCTGCCGTCTTTACGCGACAATCGGAATTGGAAGTGCTCAAAGAGCACTGCTTGTGCACGGACTTGGACGAAGCTGTAAACGCATCGAATGATCATGTCATATGTTGTGGCATATGTGGATGCTGACCTCCACCTTGATTTTTCAGCAAAATCTAGAAATTTTAAGTCATGAAAATTCAAATGGGAAACACAATTTGCATCTGCTTCATTCCAATCGGACAAAAATATTATGGAGGTTCATCCATGTAACCAGTTGCTGCCTACAAATAGTATCATTGATCAAAGATACGCGGACATCCATGAAGAAAACACGCGTCAGTTTGTGGTTGCAGCAGTCAACACAAGAGAGCCGAGCGTAGCCGTGCACCAGGATGCACTCTGCGTGGGGCAAGGTCACGCTGCTGATGGGGGCGGTCATGGCGCACCAGCGGGGCCTCTGGGAGTGCCGGAACGAAGTCTGGGTGCGCCACGACTCCGTCTGGGTGCCGGAGGGCGACGGCTGGACCAAGAGGGACGGCCTCTGGACCAGGGAGCACGGCCTCTGGCTGCGCAGGGGCCAGTGCTGGCGCCGTCAGGAGGACGGGCACTGGACGCGCGACATGGAGACGTGGCGGAAGATGGAGGAGGTCGGTGTGTAGCCGGTGCGGCGACGCGGCGATGGGGCCGCGGCCGCGCGCGACTCTGGCGGTCCGAGTCGGACCTGGCCTCGTCGGAAGAGGCGGCGCCGCGCCGTGGACCTGCCCGGCCGCCGCCGCCGCCGCCACCGCCGGCCGACAGCAGCGGCTCTAGCGGCGCCGACTCGGACGACGGTCGGCAGCCGTGGCGCAGCGAGAGCCACCTGGCGGCGACGCGCGGCACTCTCTCGCAGCGGCACCGCAGTCAGCCGTGTCTGCTGGCGACGCGACCCGACTACAGCGGCGTCTCGAGCCGCGTCACCGCCTACATCCAGCAGAGGCGTAGGCAGGATCGGGCCGCGCGCGCGCGCCGCCGCGCCTCGCGCTCCCCGGAGCGGCCTGCGCTGGCTGATCGGCCCGACGCCGGCGACGGTGGCGCCTCTGACGGCGATGACTGCCAGACCCTGGCGGCGCGGCTGGCGCTGGAGCAGGTCGAACGGCGCGAGCGCGAGCGCCAGCTGGAGCAGCTGCAGACTGACTACGAGCAGCTGGTGACCAAGTACGCCGAGGCAGAGACGTTCATTGACAGGATGCGCTTCCGCCAGCCGGACCAGTTGCCAAGCAGTGAAACGCTGCACAAGAGTAGCTCTCGGGATAGCTTAGATGCAAAGAATCTCAGTGTGTATGCGGCGTCCCCGCTGGGGGCGCAGTCTAGTCAGAGTTCGTTAATGTCTCGGATCAGCGACGTGAGAAGTTCTGTTTTGAGAAGGCATAGTGACGAGGAGCTTAGTTTTCGTCGATTTGTCCAGTCGAAAAGGGAACTGTTCCCCGACGATGTCGGCTCGAAGGCTGTGAAGACTTGTGTGGAGCTCGGAGATGGCGGGAAGGATGTGGAAGAAGTTGATAATATGTATAGTAAGGTAAGGGGATCACCACGGTATTGAAGTTTACAACGCATCTGTGCAACGCGATGTGAGGTGTATTTCATCAATTATGCAGACCAAGCGTGTCATAGCTGTCGTATGTGGTTTTGTCGCCCGATCATGGCGCCTGGTCTATTCGACTTGTGCGATGCTATTTGCAGTCGATCTGGTTTTATTCCCCAATACGCCATGTTCACGTGTGGACGGGGCCCGTATTGGGAACGGTAGGAAATACCCGGGCCAGTTGGTGATCCCCAACGTGTTTGAAATGCTGTTGTCGCAGTGGACAATGCCACTATGTACAACATTGCCGCCCGCCACCGCTCTCACCTTTGTGTTGTACCCTTCCAGATTCACTCTGCTGAGAAGCTGACACCAGACGGAATCAGCTCCAGGCCCTCGCTGCCAGCTCTTCCTGTCGGCAGCGCCAGCGTTGCTCAGTCGACCCCCCGCCAGCGGGCGAGCAACGCTAGCTCTACGCACTGGGAATGGTCCGCCGTAGAGGAGGAGGAGGCGGCTACGGCAGCCGGGTCCGGCTTCCCCGCCCGGCAGCCGAACAGTCTGCCGCCAGGGCCCCGGCCCGGCCGGCGAGACCAGGCCACCGACCACCGGGCGACGCTTGGAGGCGGCTCAGACCCAGGGTCAGGTCACCTGGTGCCAGCAGATCGTCTGAAAGCGCGTGACCTGGTTCTCTCTCCGCAGCACCGGCCCAGGCCAGACGGCCCGTCGCCAGCCGACGGACCGGGGGTGTGGGAACCGCTGCCGGGTGACCTCGGTACATCGGCTGCCAGTTCTGATGGCAGTCGAAGTGGAGACAACGACGCTAGCCAAAGCGGCGGCCGAGCACGGCCGAGCCGCAAGCGCGGAAGGGACGACGCCGCCGGACACAACAGTGGCAGTGAACGGAGCCGCGGCGGCGGTGACCGAAGCCATAGCGATGATGACCAAAGCCGTAGCGGCGG